TTCCACCTTGTGATGTCATGAAGCAGCAGTTCTCAAGATAACAAGATTTTTTTGTTTGTTATTTGTTCTGTAGAGATTCCAGTTCCAGATAATTCCAGGGCTGAAATCATCCAAATGATTGTAGTGAAGGTTTATAGAGTTTAAAAACACAGTGGAGCACGTTTTTACCATGTCATGTGTTTTCATGTAAGGGAAGAACGCCTCGTAAATATGAGGGATTGGTGCCTCAAACATGTGTGAATGAAACAAAACACAACTCTGGATGTGTTTTTGATGAGGTAACAACATAATAACATGGATCCAGAAATAGCGAAATAAGAGCCCTTTAATAAAAACAAACCTGCAATATATAGCTATTCAGTTTATTCAAAGATGTTTGTGTAATCTTTTAACAAAAAAGTAATTGTGTCACTTTTTTCAAAGCTTATATAGTAACATAACAATGGAAAAAAAAAACACTCTCCATGCTTTAGGCTGTGACCACAAAGGTGCAGTGTGTGAGATGATTACTGTGTGTCATCATGAGTCCCTTGTGCAGCAGAGTCTCAGGGGAGCTCCATGGAGGCCAACCCCAGCACAAATAACATGAGCTATGATGAGCGCAGACTGCAGAGAGAAACAAACTGGATTCTACAGTTGACTTGGATCCAATTTTGTCAAAGAATTCTGAATTATCAACTTTCCACATAGTCCATGTTTTTTGGGGACATTACAATGCTGGGAATCAGATGACATCAAACTATTTTATAGAGCAATAATATTTAATACAGATAGGGGGCCAAAAATTAGCCTGATTCATCAGCTAGTTTCACTTTGTGGAAACCGACTGACCTTGCAGCATTAGGATTCATTCACTTGACCTTAGGCGGGTGCTTTTTGTATTTAACCAATTGCTGTTATTTGGTCGTGATGTATGTAATGCTCCGGAGCACTCAGTGGTGTCCAAATAATTACTGGAACAACAGCAAACAAAGCAGAGAGTGAATATGTCTGTCAACGATCATTGTCATTTCTGCGAGGTGAACTTGCAAAATAAAGGTGCAATAAAAAATGCGAAGTTTGTATTTGACAATGATAGTCCAAACAAGGAGAGCATATGCAGTTTGTTAATGCAACTCGGGTTGGTTCAGCTCTTCACTGATTGGCCGGTGCGTGGTCTACAACTTCCAGGGTCCTTGCAAACTGTTTAGTGTATTCCAATTCCCGACCTAGTTGCTGGAGAGAAATAAAATTGAGCGGAGGCACTAGGTGGCATTAGCCTGGTTTGCAAATATGATCAGTATTGTTAAAATGCAGGTTTCTATTATAATATGGTGAGTTCTATGATCTAGTCACTAATAAAAAATGAACATTTGTTAATTTACCTTTTATATATTTCATGGAAAAGTACAATGTAATCAATAGGAAAAAAAACGTATTCTGATCTTAATGTTGCACTTTGTAACTTTTCTGCGGGTACGTTGTCTGCTTAACCCAGTGCTTCTCAATTATTTTCTGTCATGCCCCCCCTAGGACGAATAAAACATCTCGCGCCCCCCCTGACTATAGATAGTATCATTTGTCTATAAAATTGTTATAAGTACACCTGTGCGTAACACTGCCACCTTATATGACGCCAACAACGCTCGCTGGTTTACTGAAGTAGCAGTCACAAAGCGGGATGATTGTCGGCAATATTCGGCACGTTTTCGCTGAAAAATCTTAAGCGGCTTATCAGAGTGATTGGGGTGTAATGTATTTAAGTGACGCCTTAATTTATTGGGCTTCATGCTGTCGGCTGCCAACATTTTTAGACACAGTAAGCACACCGGTCTTTCCTCGTCTCCCACCGTAGTCACAGTGAAGCCAAGCGCTACATACGCTTCGTCATATTTCCTCGTCTTAGCTTTCGGGAGATTTTCGTTTGTCTCTTTATCTCCGTCTCTCTCCGTCTGTCTTCTCATCCCTGTTAAATATTTTTTTCATGGTGTCACTTGAGGGTCTGCTACACTTCGTGTCTACACTTCATACTCAAACTCTGTGCTGTGTGCAAAGCGCGCATGCTCAGTGCAAACAAAACTCCTACACCACCGAGCGAATGCTCCCTGCGCACACTCTGCCAATGAGAGCGCTCTGCCCCCTAATGTAGTGGAAGTGCAATTGCACTTTATTCTAAAGGCCCGTTCAGACCAAAGCGTCAAAGTGTCCACTTTCTATGTAAAGTCTATGTGGACGCGCGACTAGAGCGTCCTGCGTTTTTGCGGCGCGTTTTCGGCGTCAGCGCGGCGCGAATCTGGCGTCAGCGCAGCGCGTCTTCAGCGTTTTGGCGTCAGCGGCCAAGACGCGCGTCCAAGGCGTCAGCGTCAAGACGTTGAAAATGCTGAACTTTTCGCGTCAGACGCGCCGCGTCAATCAATCAGGGACGAGTATCCAGTGACGCAGCGACGTTATTATCAGGAAGAAAGACCCGAGAACCAGAACGAGAACCACAAACATGAACGGAGAATAAATATATACGCCACAATCACCGAGCCGATCGCGAGGACTACACCAGGACCGGACCAGGACCAAACCAGGACTAGACCGAGACTAGACCGAGACTAGACCGAGACTAAACAAGGACTAGACCGGGACTAGACCGTGATTAGACCAGGACTAGACCGGGACTAGACCGGGACTAGACCGTGATTAGACCAGGACTAGACCGGTATTAGACCAGGACTAGACCGGTATTAGACCAGGACTAGACCAGGACTAGACCGGGACTGATCCAGTGTCATTAGCGGAGTATAAATATAAACACGCCCCAGTCGTCGACCCGATCTCCTCCGTTGATGTTTTATGTCATAAAAACACTCTCTCAGTCTGGTCTGACATTGTTTCGGGAAAAGACCGGGACCGGGCTCTTGTTTCCAGGGCAACGGACGCGCATCAAGTATTTTTGTCCCGTTCGTCCACGGCGTCAAAAGTTGCGCGTCGGGGCGTCTAAACTCAAATGCAAAACGCGTCCAAATAGAGGCGTCAAGGCGTTTTTTGACGCTTTGGTGTGAACGGCCCTTAAGACAGTAAAAAAAATCAAAATAAAAAAATAAAAAAGCATGTTCCCCGAGGTCAAACGCGCCCCCCTTGACGGAGCCTCGCGCCCCCCCAGGAGAAGCACTGGCTTAACCCCATGTACATGTTTTCTACAGTATGGCATTTAATTTAACTAGCTCCATGAAGACACATCACCAGGTGAGATCTGTACAGAGTTGGGCCAGCTCACAGTAATAATGCATGTTTTGTGGACGTTTTAAGAAATAAAAACTCCTCTAATTGAATAAATGGAAGATATATTTGTTTAATGCCATACTGCAGAACATCTCAGGCAATGCGATAACATCACCATGGAGACAAGCATGTTAGGAGAAGATGGCAGACCTTCCACCAGAAAAGTTACACAGTGCACTTTTACAGTGGAACTAAACACTAAATCAACTTTTTTGCTACTAACTGTGCTTACACTGTGTATATGTTATTTTAGAGCAAACTAGGTATATTCATGATTGTAAACACCAGTTTGAGTAGAGTTGAGCAGAGTTTAAAATGCTGATACTTGTTAAATCAATAACACTGTGGCTCATGTGTCCAGACCCCACCCCTCTCATCTTTAATCCTCCAGGCACTGCCCAGTTATGCAGCTGTATCTGAAACGTGTTTTTTGGTTGAGTTTAGATGTTCAATCCCACTTTAACCATAATTACTACTTGCCTAATCTAACCCCTAACTCATGGCTGAACTTTAAATCATGTTCTTAAAGGTGCACTGTGCAACTTTTCCGGTGGTGGGTTTGTCATCCATTTGTCTTCATGGAGATGTTATTGCTCTTTCTAGAAGACTCCACAGTAGAGATTAAACCTATCTATCTCAAGAGAGACAACTACAGCCTACATTACTGTACAGTACGGTCAGATATGTGAAGAGGCAACCCTGTTCACATAGAGAATGACTGTCTTTTTGAGTAATAGAAGCACCTGTAATGAATACATGCTAGATGTGTTTAATGTCATATCATGGAACATTCTAGGGAAAGCAATAACATCTCCATGGAGAGAAGCAGACCCTCCACCAGAAAATTTGCGCAGTGCACCTTTAATGATAAAAAATTTACATTTAATGGGAGCTTTGTTCTTACTGCTCATAAAAGAGGCAGGATGTCTAGAATTCAGTGTACAGATTTTTGTCTCCACAGTGTGATAAATAGGAGCCTGCACAAATCTAAACTCTGCTTCACCTGGATTTTGGAGTAAATGAGAAGAAACTCACAGAAAAAGTTAAATTTCTACATGTTTTGGCACAGTTGCTTCATGTGTTCTATGTATGTTTCAATTTGTTTTTCTTGACATTTACAATCATTCTGAGATTTACACCAGAATGAAATAGGCTAAAGGTTTCAAGCTCCTAAACAACACCTCCACTCAATACTGTAAGAAAGCTCCATGTCTTAGCAAAGATGTGTAAATAATGGAGATCAAAAAACTAAAGTTAGGGTCAGAGGAGCTGTGGGTGTCCTGGTTCTCTCACACACAGTGACATTTAGAAAACAGCAGCATGTCTTTTCAGTGAATGTCTAACACCTCTGTTTTATAAAGAGTGCACGGATCCAAGCTTACACATGGCCTCAGCATATGTGTAGGCTATACCATCCACAACTCATGAGGCGGATGTGAACATCTGTTACCATAGCAACACATGTGGCCATTTGACCCAGGGCATTGCAATGAAAAATACTCCCATCACATGTTTATTAGTTCATTCATAAACCCACTACTCATTCTAGTCAGCACTGTGTACTGGAATCAAACAGGATCATGGATACAAATCATTTGGAGTGTGTCCCATAGAAGCATTGACAAACCTCAGCCTCCTCGCTCTGCTGGGAGTGAGGCTGTGAGCTGCCCCTGTAAACAAAAGGGCCGCCCCTGTGGGGACATGTCATGAAGCAACAGTTGGTGGTTATGATGTGAATGAGTGGAACATACCTTTTGCTGCCTGCGGGCCATGTCTGTGGGCTGTTTGGCGTTAAATGGGTACGCGATGCAGCGCATAACGAAAACGTAGAGCTGTAGCCTCTTCTTCCTTTCCTCTTCCTCCCGTTGTAGCTTCTCCAGGTCCTCTTTCTCTTTGTCGCTGCCAACAGAGGGGCTGGGGCTCGAGGGCCGCCCTCCACCGCTGCTACCGCGGCCCCGAGGCTGGAGTGCACCGCTTCCTCCGCTGTGCGTCTCCGCTGCTCGGCCCGGGGACAGACGCGCCCCGGCGGTGCTCTTTGGGGCTGCCGCCTCCCTGCGCTCCACCTCTTGCACCTCATCGCCTTCCTCCTCGCTGGAAGACGGATCCAACATGCTGCTGCTGAGAGACAAGCGGAGCAGGAGAGCAGATGTCGACGCACCACTGAGAAGTCTCCTGTTGCTTCAGGGAAAGACCACCCCCGTCACGAGGCGCGCTCACGGAGACAGCGCGCACACATACACACACATTTACACACTGACACGCAAGGGCCAGATTCGGTCAGGTCCAGTCCGGTGAGTCGGTGGGAGTGCGAGGACCGAGTGAAGCGCTGTAGGAGGGGTCTCTGTCGACAACATGCAGCGCAGGGGGAGGGGGTGGGGAGGAGCTGTCCGCGGTGCTGAAACACGAGCCCCGCTGTTCCTGGATCAGCCTCCAACTCTGCCACCTGAGGATCTGATGCACTCACACCCAATCACTGCTGAACACTGGCTCTTTCATTTCGTATGTTTCTCTGATAGCAACAAGTGGTCTAGAACTAATCACTACCACAGAGCCTACGCTGCTTTGTTTTGCTCCTTTAGCTGGAGTTGGCACAGTGAACAGACCGACACAAGTTTGGATCAGTAATACAAGCAAAATCCTCAAATAAATACGACTGTTATCAGTTGTGCCACTCACAGAGATTTTTCCCTTGCTTGCTATGGTATCAAACTGCTTCACTGTACATTGCCGGAAGCCACTGCCCAATTTTGCCCGACCCTTCGTACATCCAATGTAAACTTGTGAAAGCACCTGTTCTAGCACCTAAGTCTTCAAATGATCACTAAAGGATCAGCTAAAGGAAATAGTTGCCTTTGAAATGATCTTTTAAACTTTCAACTGTTTTATTAATTTAAAAATAAAGAAATAGTAGTGCAACTGCCTCGTCTCAATTGGCTCCCAACTTTACACTTAACCTAATATAGCTCAATTAGGCCTATTATACAGGCAAACTATTTCAAAAGAAAACTTGCTGAAAAAGAGGATTGTTGGTTGCTTGTGTCATTTTTGAACTGTGAGTGAAAATACGCTCCTGAAAAAGGCCTACGAAATGGATCAAATTGGAGGTTTCTACAGACTGGCGTCATTTTCTGTTTGCTTTCAGTCAACAGTGTGGGTCGTCTGCACAAACTTACTCCAAACTCTTCCTGCAGATGTACAAGTCAGTGAGCTCCGGGGAAGTGGGCTGGAGATCTGTTTATTTATTTATTTTTTTCCCCTTTGATTAAGTCCTCCACGTAAAAGTATGAAGTGAAACAGAAGTCTCGGGAAAACTCATGTACAGTAACGAAAGCACCCAGCAGGAGGCGATATTGGATCAAAATAGAAAAGGCTTGTTGGCTCGAAAAAACACTTCACAAAAAATAAATGTACACTATGTAACTGCTTTGCCTGTCATGTTCCACTGTGGTATATTAAACCAATACCTATCTTGCATTTATTTTGAAAGTTTCAATATAGGACGAGCAGGTGGGACAGGCAGAATAATATTCTCTATGATTTCTACGAAGTTGACAAGTTTTGTGTTTTATGGCAAAAGTAAATAGTGCACTATGAAACCTGACCACCCTCATGAAGTCTGTGTTTGAGGGTTTAAACTGGGATAATTTGAACATCTCTGTAGAGTTTAAAGTCTGGTGGTCAGCAGGAGGTAATTTTGTATGGCTCTCGTCCTGTTCTTACTTGCACGAAAGATCACATAAGTCCAATTAACGCGTTTTAGGAATGATACAGCCCTGCTTAGATAATACCTGTATCTTGAAAATGAGAGAGAGGCAGGAGACACAGCAAACCTCCTGGTAATGGCATCGTGTGTTATCCTGGTGGAGTTGGATTTTGCTACCTCCAGAGGGTCCAGGTTTTGCCTCATAGTAGTTGAGGAAAGACAAGGAAGGGGGAAACTGTCATTAACCTTCACTTGTAAAAAATATTCCTCTTTTTTTGATTGGCAATAGCAAAGTCCTTATTTCTATAGGCCTTTTAATAACAGACAGTGAAGTCAAATCCCAAATGGCATGCCACCAGAGTTACATCCTGTATAAATGATCTTACTTATTACATTTTAGGGCATCTTGATCTGTATTAAACTTACAACTGATAAATAACACCAAAAAAAAGTTGATTATTCTTAATGAACCTTTTATAGCATACAAAAAAGTAAATGCATGGTGCTGTTTTCTCGCAACACAGAACTACCACTGTTGCACACGTTCTTCAATAAAACTTCAACCTTAACATGATAACCTATCTTTGAAAACTTGTATTAATCTTTTTTATTATTTTTCTTTGAATAGGGACAGTATTCTGTTGAATTCTTTCTCCTACTGTCATAAAAAGTACATGCAGAATTAACAGTGTTTAAGAAAATAAAAAACAAAACAAAAAACCTTAGAAATTTGTTCAGTTCAGTTCAGTTAAGCTCTGTTTTATAGTTGCGTTCATCAGCATTTTTGGAGCAGTAATTCGTACCAACCCAAAGGTCAGTGGTTCAGATTTCCACAGTATCAGTGTACGTGTGGAATGAAGTGTTAAGTTTAGTGCAGCAATGGGGAGGAACTTTTGAATCTTACTTCTTTCACAAGAACAAAGCAAATTACATAGTAATTTTTGTAGTTACTGTGATTATGACTTGATTTGAAACATTTAAACAATATTATTTAATCAACAAAGAAAGCAACCGTTACAGATACTGGTAAATGATCATGATAATTTAACAACCATTCCTTATTAAACTGTTTTTATTTATTTTCTAGATTTGTGATTTCTAGCCTTTTATTTAAGCCTTTTGAATTAAAGTGTCTTAAAGTTACTGGGTAAACTGGGCATATCTCATATGACAACAAAATGAAGAATGAAATTCAAACATGTCTCTTTCCAAATTTCTGTTTTAAATATCCCAAATATGGTAAATTTGGGCAATTTTTACACATAAAATGGTTTATTTCTATATGAATACATAGCATGATCTAACAGTTTATTTATTTATTTTTTTACATTTATATAACTTAGTAAACTAAAGAATATGTTAAAACATTTTTTCCTATTCACCTGCAGTGCCTCGCCTTAAGTAAAATGACAATATACTAAACATTCCTATATATAAATTATGAACTACAAACTTTTTATTCATAAAACACCAACACAAACTCAGGTTAGCCCTAGTTCATTTTCACTTACAAAATGAAGTGGACCATAATAGTTAAAAGTTCAATGATTAACTGACATCTATACTGTACATGCTGAAAGCAACAAGGAATTTAGACTGTATATGGATCATATATGGATCGTACAGGAGGATTTGTGGGCATGCCTATCGAAGCGTGGATTATTGTTAAGCCTCCATGTCAACAATATGAAGCAAGAGATTTAAACCTGGCTTTATTCATGTTTCAGTTTCATATATCCCTAATATGTGCTGTACTGTTACACTCAACGTGACCCCTTGTCCTAATTGAGATTCACAGCCAGCTAAACTCTCTCTTGCATCACTTCCTCCAAGGAACAGGCAGGTGTTGTCTTTGACCAGGATTTAATGTAAAAAAGTGTGAAACTGTAACAAAATACAAAAGGGTATTCAGAAAGTTGTAAAATCAACAATGTACATCAAAGTTACATTATATAGACAATTAAATGGCCAATGTTAGCTGAGAAGTAATACACACAACTCAAATACCACTACTGGAACTCAAATCTCAAATAATATCTATAAAATGCTACAAACTTCAACAAAATGCTACAAATGCACTTGTCAACATTCATTTTTAATGTAAACACTTACTCATATTGCCACTCAAAGGGCTGGAAATGAGAGGATGGTTTCAGATCTAACCGCAAAACACCTCATGGACTGACTGACATTTTCAAGCTAGTAGTTTTACTTCTTGTCACCTACTGGCTAAATATATCACCAAAATCACAACTAGCGCCCCCCAGCAGGCTGGAAGAACACAACACAAAACAGTTCCAATACACTCCCCGCCTGGCATTATTTTAAGAATGCCATAATAAACTAACTAAACAGTGGGGGATAACAGTCTGAGATAGGTCTGGAGAAAATCTTCATAGTCTTGTTGCGTGCTACTTTGACCTCAATCTTCCTCACAACTCCATCCTTGCTTGGAAGAGTCTTCACGATGATTCCCATGGGCCATTCATTCCGTTTTAGTTGCTTGTCCTTCAGAAGAATGATATCTTTCTCCTTCAGATTTGGTTTGTTGCGTTGCCACTTCTGACGGCTTTGGAGCATGTTGAGGTACTCCCTTTGCCATCTGGTCCAAAAGGTGTCGGCAAGGACTTGAACTCTTTTCCACTGATATTTGAATATGTCAGCGTTGGTGAAATCTCCTGGTGGAACTGGTATTGCTTTTGTTTTTTGTGTTAGCAGCGTCATGGGAGTCAAGATGAGAGGTGCGTCAGGATCTGAGGAGACAAGCACCAAGGGTCTTGCGTTGATGATAGCTGTGACTTCAGCGAGCAACGTTGTTAGTACCTTGTGAGTCAGTAAAGGATTTCCTGCTTGTAAGAGCATAGAGTCGAGGATGCGACGCGCGATTCCTATCATACGCTCCCACGTGCCTCCCATGTGGGATGAGTGAGGAGGGTTGAACACCCAGGAGCACCTTTGTTCACGCAGATAGTCATCCACACTTGTGTCGTCAGGCTTTGGAGGTTCCATCTTCAGCTCTTTGGATGCGCCAATGAAGTTGGTACCACAGTCGGACCGTAGCTGTTTAGCGGGCCCTCTGATGGCGAAAAATCTGCGAAGAGCATTGATAAAACTTGAAGAGCTTAATGTCTCTACAACTTCGATATGAATGGCTCTTGTACACATACAAGTGAACAGAACCGCCCATCGTTTGCTGTCAGCATGACCACCTTTTGTGCGGCACGTTGTGACCTCCCATGGTCCGAAAACATCCAGGCCAACATACGAAAATGGAGGATCAGTTTGTAGACGCTCGGCGGGCAGATCTGCCATGATTTGCTGCTCTGTTTTCCCTCGAAGCTTTTTGCAAGTCACACATTTATGGATAAAACTGCTGATGGATCTCTTGGCACCAGCCAGCCACAAACCACTTGCTCGCACTGCTCCTTCAGTGAAGTGTCTTCCTTGATGCTTTACAGCTTCATGATGATGTCGAATGAGCAGGGTAGTAATGTGATGCATTCTTGGGATCAGAAGAGGATTAGCTTCTTGACTTGTGAGTTTGGACTCTGACAAGCGTCCTCCAACACGGAGTAGGTCTTTATCATCGATGATCGGCTTGAGCTTGTATAGAGGACTGTTGCGTGGCAGATCTTGTTTTGCCTTGATGCGTTTGATCTCTTCGGCATACACTTCATGTTGGACACATCTAATGATAGTGTACTCTGCTCGAGTTAAGGATTCTCCTGTGAGACTTGTTTTGCAGAGGTGCCAGCCTTCACAATCTTTAGACTTGAAACTGTGAGCGATGTGACAAAGGTATGCTACTGCTTTGACAAGAGAGGTCCATTTTGAGAATCGTTCAAATCGCATTGAACCTAAACTACCTGAAGTGGTTCTGGTCACAAGCACGGTAGCATTCTGTCGAATTTCCACGTCTGACTCTGGGTCAATGAGTTTGAATGGGCCTTTTTCAGGAGCACCACTCTTGGTGTTGAGAAGAAATGCTGGGCCAGACCACCATGTTGTTCTTTCGATTTTCTCCGCAGCCAGTGAGCGAGAACCATGATCAGCTGGATTGTGCTCAGATGGGATGTATTTCCACTGCTCTGGGAGAGAGGATTGCTTGATTCTCTGCACACGGTTGTTCACATATACATGAAATCTTCTGTTCTTGTTGTGGATGTAACCCAACACCACTTTGCTGTCAGTGAAAAATGTGATCTTGTCAATCTTGACCTTCAACTCATCATTGAGAGGCTCTGACATCTCCACCGCAAGCACTGCAGCACAGAGTTCTAATCTGGGAATGGTGAGCTCTGGCATAGGAGCAAGTTTGGCTTTGCCCATGACGAAACCGACTTCGTTGTGGCCATCACCATGTGTTACTTTCAGGTAGGCTACTGCTGCAATTGCTTTCACAGAAGCATCTGAGAACATGCAGAGTTCAATTAATGTGGATTGTGAGATGGAGAAGGACACATAGGTACGAGGAATGTGGAGGGTTGCCAGGTGCTGTAACGAGTCCTGCCATCTTCTCCAGTCGTCATACATGTCTTGCGGCAACGGGGTGTCCCATTCAAGGTTGCGGCTGGTGAGCTCCCTGAGAAGAAGTCTGCCTTTGATAGTTACCGGTGCGAGCAGCCCAAGAGGATCAAACAAACTGTTTACAGTTGAGAGCACACCACGTCGAGTGAAGGGCTATTGTTCTAGTGGGACGTCAAAAGTGAATGTATCTGATGTGGTGTTCCAAATCACACCCAAACTGCGTTGGACTGGGAGATGGTCTGTTGTTAGATCAAGGTCTTTGATCTCTTTTGCTCTATCTTCAGGAGGGAAGGCGCTCACCACTTCCACTTTGTTGGAAGCTATCTTGTGGAGACGTAGATTAGAAAGGGCAAGCATTTTCTGGGCTCTCTGTAGGACGTCAATTGCCTCAGCTTCTGTAGGGAAAGACTTTAGTGCATCGTCAACATAAAAGTCTTGCTCGATGAAGTTACATGCGTCGGATCCATATTCAACTTCTGCTTCTTTTGCTGCCATTCTCAACCCATAGATCGCCACTGCCGGGGAGGGGCTGTTACCAAAGACGTGCACCCTCATGTGATAGTCCACAACATCTTTGGTTAGGTCGTTGTCTTCGTACCACAGGAAGCGAAGGTAGTCCCTGTGACCCTCCTGGACAACAAAGCAGTAAAACATCTGCTCGATGTCCGCTGTGATAGCGACAGGTTCCTTCCTGAACCGTAGGAGCACACCCACAAGTGTGTTGTTAAGATCAGGGCCAGAAAGCAGGACATCATTGAGAGACACTCCATCAAACTGAGCACTGGAGTCGAACACCACACGGATCTTCTCAGGTTTCTGTGGGTGGTAGACACCAAAGGTGGGAAGATACCAGGTCTCTTTGTTTTTGGTCCGAGGTGGTGCAAGCTCAGCATGTTTGTTGTCAAGCATCTTCTGCATGAACTCAATGAAATGTCTTTTCATGTCTGGCTTCTTGTCAAGCGTGCGTCGGAGAGACTCGAGGCGCTTAAGGGCGTAGCACCTGTTGTCTGGGAGAAGGCATCTCGGGTTTCTAAACGGGAGTGGTGCAACCCAGCTGTTAGTGTCATCTTTGAAGATCTGCTCCGTCCTTCCCAGAAAGATGAGGTCTTCAGCTGAGTGTGCAAGGCGGTTGTCTTCATTCGTTTGGTTAAAAACAGTCTCTCCTAAGTTCTCATCTGTGGGCTTTGCTCGTAGGCTTGGAGGTGGCAGCGGATTGGAAATGGCTTTGTACTGGCTCAGTGCGAAGCTCTCTTTTACGCTGAAGCGACTGTTGCAGGGAGTGAGATAGCTTGGGCGACCATTGTCTAGCACATGTGTCTTGAGAGTATTTACTTCCCTTGGCTTGTGGGCGCTACCCAGACATACATCCCCGATGATGACCCAGCCTAGGTCAAACTTCTGTGCGAATGGGTCATTGTGCTTGCCACATATTTGTTTTCTGACCTTGTGGACCCTTAGAAGATTACGTCCAATCAGCAGCAGGATGTCAGCATGTGGGTCGAGGGGCGGTATCTCACCAGCTATGGCTTTCAGGTGAGGATGGTGTGAAGCAGCTTCTGTAGTGGGTATCTCATCCCTATTGTTTGGGATGTCATTGCACTCTATAAGCATGGGGAGAGGAAAGCTCATTTTACCATCGAATGACTGAACAACATAGTCGCAGGCTCTTCTGCCACTAACTTGAGTCACACCAGAGCAGGTTTTTAGCATGTATGGGATAGTTGTGCCTTGTATTGCAAACATGTCGAAAAACTCTGTCTTTGCAAGTGACTGGTTACTTTGATCGTCTATTATTGCATACATCTTTTTCGTCTTGTGTGGCTCACCTTTAGGGTGGACTTGCACCAAACAGATCTTGGAGCAGGACTTTCCAGTAATCCCATTTCCACATACCTCTGTACATGTGGCTGTAACATCAGTGTCCTGTGCAACTTCTTGCTCCCCGCCGTGCTCTTTCGGTGGTGAAGGAGGCTTGGATGTTGGCGGTGCTGGGCCTGGATGAAGAGCTGCTAGATGTCTCTCACTGTCACATTTGTCACACTTTATTGTGGCCTTACAGTCCTTTGCTTGGTGACTGGTAGAAGCAAGGCAGCGATAGCAGATGTTATTGTCTTTGAGCAACTTTTTCCTGTCTTCCAGCAGCATTGTTCTAAAACCCCTGCATCTTCTCAGTGGGTGTGGTTTGTGATGTATGGGGCATTCCCTTTGAATGTCTGTTCTTGTTTCTTTTGTCTTGTCTGTCTCTGACACTTCTGTCTTGTGTACTGTGACGGACTGTCTTTGGCTGTAGTTACTTGTGGGCTTTCCTTTTTTGTAACTGACTGTAGGGTTGAAAGGTGGGTTGTAAGCTGTGGTATAACTCGGGTCATTCCTCGCTTTGGCCTGGCCTTTCACAAAGTTCACAAAGAATGAGAAGGGTGGAAAGCTTACATTATGGTCCTCTTTATACCTCGACCCCACAATTGTCCATCTCTCTTGAAGGTGAAAAGGCAGCTTTTCCACAATTGGACTCACTCCTCTAGCTGTATCGAGGTAACTCAAACCTGTGAGATATCCATCTAGTTTTGCAGCTTCTAGCTCACACAATAGATCTGACAGATCACGAAGCTTTTGAGGTTCTTTGCTTGAAAGCTTTGGAAAGTTCTGTAACCTTGTGAACAGGGAGTTTTCTATTGCTTCTGGCAAGCCGTAACATTCTTCCAGTCTCACCCAGATCATGTTCAGACCAGCATCTGGGAACTTGATGTTGACTGCCTTTATTCTTTTTGCGTGTTCAGAAGACTCAGGACCGAGCCACTTAATGAGGAGGTTCAGTTCTTCGCTAGCTGTAAGACCCAGATCTCTGATGGTGCTCTGGAAAGTGGCTTTCCAGCTGAGATAACTATCTGGCTTGTCATCGAATTTAGTTAGCCCTCCAGTTACTAGTTGACTTTTAGCTAGGAATCTGGCAAGGTCACTGGTTGTGTTGTCGGCATTATTTGGGCTTGAAAACTGCATCGGTTGCTGAATTATGTCTCTTAGTGGAGGTCGTTTGGCGCCATCTGGTGGCTGGACTGGATAGTCATTTCGTTCTTGTTTAACATGGGAAGGTGTGTAAACACTTGGTTGGTATTGTTTTTGAAATGTACAGTTGTGCTGGTAAGTCTCTCTATTTTGTGTAGGCTCATTGTTGTAACTGTGTTTGTTTATGTACTCACTCACTTTGTCTTCTGTAGTTGGTTGTAGGGGCAAGAAACTCAGTTCGTTACTTTTCTCTGTTTTCTCATATTGAGCTGCAGCTGATTCCATCACCTCGGCTTTGGCCATGGCAGCATCCGCTTCCTTCTGGAGGTTGAGCACATCAAGAGTTGCTTCTAACCATGCTTTTTCTACTTTGATGCTCAGCTCTTTCTCAGCATAGGCTAGTCTGGCTTTGGCAGCTTGAGCTTCTGCTTGTGCAAGTGCTGCAGCCATACTGGCTCGGCTTGAAGCTGACGACCTTGCAGATGCCCCAGCTTCTGAACGAACAGTTAGTTTTCCTGAATGTACTGAGAATTTTGATGAATGTGCCTTTAATGAGTGAGATGAGTGTGACTTTTGGCTTTTAGCTTCTTCTTTCTCCATAGTAGCATTTTAGTGTAATTGTAGATGTTGACTGTGTTTTCTTCCACCAACCGTTCACCGTGGTCCCTCGCAGAGTGTTATGATTTCACTGTACTGTTACACTCAACGTGACCCCTTGTCCTAATTGAGATTCACAGCCAGCTAAAATCTCTCTCTTGCATCACTTCCTCCAAGGAACAGGCAGGTGTTGTCTTTGACCAGGATTTAATGCAAAAAAGTGTGAAACTGTAACAAAATACAAAAGGGTATTCAGAAAGTTGTAAAATCAACAATGTACATCAAAGTTACATTATATAGACAATTAAATGGCCAATGTTAGCTGAGAAGTAATACACACAACTCAAATACCACTACTGGAACTCAAATCTCAAATAATATCTATAAAATGCTACAAACTTCAACAAAATGCTACAAATGCACTTGTCAACATTCATTTTTAATGTAAACACTTACTCATATTGCCACTCAAAGGGCTGGAAATGAGAGGATGGTTTCAGATCTAACCGCAAAACACCTCATGGACTGACTGACATTTTCAAGCTAGTAGTTTTACTTCTTGTCACCTACTGGCTAAATATATCACCAAAATCACAACTAGCGCCCCCCAGCAGGCCGGAAGAACACAACACAAAACAGTTCCAATACATGTGCATTATTTACCTTATTTGTATATTAAAACATTACATGATGACATTACATGATGAAACACTTTTCAACTAAACTACATTAAAGGTTTCAAGTTGATGTTGTTAAGTTCATGATTTTTTGCTGTTCACCTGAAGAGTTTTGCTTGTCTGGTAAGTTTTTTGAAAAGGCAAGTCATCTAGGCAAGTGTCTCTCCTTAAACGTTCTATATTATGCAAAATTGACTCTTGTGCGGTGTTATAATGTTGTTGCCCCTTCAGAAACATAACATAAGTTGTGTATTGTTTCATTTACACATGTTTGAGTAACCCTTCATTATTACGTTCTGTTCCACCTTGCAGTGTCATCAAGTGGTTGTTCTTTTTTTTTTTTTTTTTTCAAGTTAAGCTAGGTTTTACCTTTTATAGGCAATTCCAGAGCAGAAATTACCCAAATGATGAAAGGCAAGTCAAGTTTATTTGTTTAGTCCTGACTCTGGGCACCAGCAGGAGGCCGGTCCCTGAGGTCCTCAGAGTGTGAGATGGTTCCTATGGCACTAACATGTGAGAGATGTACTTTGGTGCTCGGTCATGGAGAAACAAGCAGAGCTGCTTTAAAGTCTATTCTCTGAGCCACAGGAGCCAGTGCAGAGACCTGGGCACAGGACTTACGTGCTCATACTCATACTTACTTTTATAAGTCTAACTTATACTTATACTTAAACTTTGATTTTTGCAGTTTCTTAGATGGTAAAAGGCTGCAGATGTTATTGATTTGATGTGGCTGTTAAAGTTCAAGTTTGTTGTTAACAAACTTGAACTTGAAGTGTAGTTTAACAACATTGTGACGCACTTCCTGTATGCATGACATCACAAGGTGGAACAGAGGGTTTTCTGTTTGAGAGAAGAACTTACAGGATTTGTGTGTTCAACAACTGTGAATGAAACAAAACACAACTCCAGGTTTGTTTGTGATGAGGAAACCACATTATAACATAGATCAGGAAACAGTGTAAGCTAGGCCCTTTAAAAACAGCAAAAAGTAAAAGACACGTGTTATTTGAGCTGTTTTGTTCCTTAAAGAATTGGAGAGGTACTCCCACTGTACGCATGCACAAACTTGACGTCAGCTTTATGGCCCGCCCACATTTTTTAACAACAACCCCCTCACTCACTCACATACATACACACACACACACTCTCTCACACACACTGCTGCTGCTGCTACTGCCTCTGCTGCACGTACTGACCCTGCCTTACCTCTCAAACCCCTGGGGGCTTTTCTGGGACATTTACAGGAAAGAAAAACCCCACATTCGACGTGTCTGTCTCTTCAAATGTCCTGTTATTGATTGTTTTATCGCCTCATGACCCGATCCGGACTCGGTTGTGCGAAAACTACACGCAGAGAGGCACGCTCCAGCTCTAGCGGCGTCTGAATTCATTCAACCACAACAACAATGGCAGCGCATGATTTCAATTTCTTACTGGCTACTGATTCGTACAAGGTAAGTAAGGGCAGCAAATGGAGCTTGTTCATTCATTTAATCTCTGTCCTCATTTTCTTGTCTTTTCAAAATAATCTCTGCACCAGTAGCAGGCTATGAGCTATGCTAAATGTCACCAGTGTTATGTTTACGATAGCCACACGAGCTACGCCTTCTAGTTTGGTGAAAGTCCACATGCAGTAGAGGTCAAAGCTTCATCTGGATCTTTTTAGGAAAATACAGCCTTTTAGTTAGCTGGAAACGTATAAACATGTTGGGAGAGATCCCTGGAACCACATTTCATCCAAGGATTCAGATTTTTAAGTTTAACAACCACAAATTTCATGATGTTCAATTTGCATTTTTTCACTATAAAATACCTTGGTCAAAATTTAAAAATAAATAAAGTATTGTCAGTGTAATGATCAACAATCAAACAACAGTCTCATGTGCCGGTGTTTTTAGTTTCATTTTCATTTCATCAGAACAGTGACTGCACTGTAATCACTGTAGTTGCACTGTAATAGTAGTTTTGTAATGGTTTATACTAATCTGTATGCTTTGAGAATACATAAGCTATATATTTAAAGACCTATAGGCTTAATTTGTGATTATGTAATGAAAGTACCAATAGGAGACATGGCCAGGTTAGAGCAGTGAGCATTCCTTTACCGATTAGCCTGTGCCAGAATTATGCTTTTACTTTCCACATACCAGTCCCATTATCCTGATTATCCCACAGCATTCACAAGGACTAAACTTTTTTACTCTGAGTTGGTCACTACAGCTGGATTGCACTGCCAAGCGTCTGTGCTTGGCACCTGTGAGAGCTCCTCCTTTGTGAAATTATGTTCTTTAAAACCAATAGCCATGACTTTTCTGTTTTGTACACCAGATAGCCTCTGACCCAGAGTTAGACTTTCTAACATTGTGTGATTGGTTAAATTGAACTTGTAATTGGTCACTCTGGTCTAAATAAAGGGTGGGCAATATGCAAAAAATGATATTACAGTTTTTAGACCTGAGATCACTATTTTGTTTTGATCACATTTCATGCAGTATCCAGTTCACACCTACTTCACTGTGATTGATTGAGTTCACTAGGCCTGTCATGATAATAACTTTTTAAGTGTGATATATTGCTGAAGTAAATATAGACAATAATACTGAAACTAATTTATGCCCCTAGCACAATCACCCAAGAGCAGATTTAAACCATAAATCCATATTTGTTAAAAATGATTAATAGCAATACATAAACAGTAGAATGAAACCATTTTATTCTGTAATAAGTCATAAAAATCATTAATTGAACTTTTTACGACTTAAAATATATTGAATGATAAGTCGATATAATAATATAATAATATTGTTACAGGCCTAGAGTTCACCTGTCAGTCACTTAGAGCGTGGATGTGTCTGTGTTTGAGCATGGAGCTTCATTCAACTGAAAAACACTAAATAATGAATTTGCTCACCAGCTGACTGAGATCAACACCTCAAGTACTGCAGTGTTCCTGTTACGTTTATTTAGAGACAATTGGATTTATTCACAATACATGTAACAAATAACATTTGTTACTTCTTAATAATAATCCAGATCCTATCCACTTGAATCATAATTAAATTGATTTTGTGATCTTCGCTTTAGAAAATCATGTAACAATTTAATTTATTTAATTACCAAACTTGTTTAGTGTGTACCAGAGAAATTCAAATTTGTGCTCAGGTTTGACTACCACACCTTAAACACAAATACTCCAAAGTGTAGTTCTTACACTCAGATATTTAGATCTATTTGCATAAATTCAGGTTGTTCTGGTGGTGAGTAATGTGGTATCATTCTTTTGTTTTAGATCACACACTACAAACAGTATCCTCCAGATGTCAGCAAAATCTATTCTTACTTTGAGTGTCGGCGAAAGAAAGGCTCCCAGTTCAATGAAGTGGTCTTTTTTGGTCTGCAGTATCTGCTGAAGAAATATCTTACAGGTATGTTCAAATTGTGATCTAAATTCACCTTCCTCTGTACAATATTTTTAAACTATCTAATGCAATGTAATTTATGTGCTATTACAGGCCGAGTGGTGACAGAAGATAAAATTCAGGAAGCCAAGCTCTTTTACCAGATGCACTTTAAGCAGACTGTATTTGATGAGGAGGGCTGGAGAAAGATCCTCGAGGTATCATTCATCACTACATTGAGTAAGTTGTGTCCATTTGGCTCATGTGCAGTAAACGTGTACGTTTTTGTGCATCAGAAACACGATGGGCGTTTACCGATCCGTATCAAAGCTGTACCTGAAGGCAGGATTATTCCAAGAGGCAATGTGCTGTTCACTGTGGAAAACACAGACCCCAGCTTCTTCTGGCTGACCAATTATATTGAGGTAATTACTCCTGTATAAAGGGCACTGTGTAGGCAAATTTTGGTCTTTTGCCGATTTGCTTGTTTCATTGATGAATTGAGTAATCAAATCTCTTTCTGAAATGCTCCTTAGGAAACTTGTGATGTTTGGTTATACACATAAAATAAACAGATTAAAAGACAATACCTAGAGATGGGTATATTAAAATCCTGTTGTTGGCGACGCCCTCTGGATTGATAAAAAATCTTATTCTTACAGTTATGTTGAACATGTTTTTTTTTTTTCAGACTATGTTAGTCCAAATGTGGTATCCCATCACCGTTGCCACCATTTCCAGGGAGTTCAAAAAAATCCTGGCCAAGCACCTCAAAGCTACATCAGGTAGTTTGGAAGGCCTGAACGAGAAGCTCCATGACTTTGGCTACAGAGGGGTCTCGTCACAAGAGGTCAGTAATACTATTTTAGTACATCATATTCAGTAAGTGTTATTAATCTTTAAATGATCTTTGCTGATTATCTGTTCCTTCTTATTTTAGTCTGCAGCTCTAGGGGGAGCAGCTCACCTGGTGAACTTCTGTGGCACTGATACAGTGGCAGGGCTGTTGATGGCACAACGATACTATTCCTGCCCCATGGCCGGCTTCTCCATCCCAGCTGCTGAACACAGGTACTACAGCTTTCTTGGCCCATTCATAATAATTACCAATAACTACTATACCAACTTATGGTTTAATAAATAAAAAAGTAAGTTTTAAAGACCAACTATTTATTGTTGTATACATTTTTTATTTAATGTAATAAAAATAGCATTATAAGAAAGTTTCAAAAATGTTTAGGAAACATAAAGCACATTGTAAGCAAACTTCAAGCAAATGCTCAAGCAGGTGTCTAGGCACAAATATCCATGTTTGACTTCCTATCACACTTTTGCACAGTAGGGACTGTACTGTATTTGACATTGCTAAAATGCCAGCCCCATCACCCCAGAGAGCATTTATTTAGTCAGGTACTAGGTAATGCTAATGTCACAGGGTTTCTGTTTGGGTATAAACACACCATATAGTGTGCTGTAGGTATGTGTTTCACGTCGTCCTTGAATGTGGTGGACAGTGCGTACACTTCTGCTTGTAATAATTTGCCTTTGTTTCTTTAGTACCATTATATCGTGGGGCAGAAGTCGGGAGAAGGATGCTTTTGAGCAGGTACTGGACCAGTTCAGCTCAGGCCCTGTGTCAGTGGTGAGTGACAGCTATGACATCTTCAACGCCTGTAAACACATCTGGGGAGACAAACTGAAGGAGCGAGTGATGGAACGCAGCCAGGACTCATGCCTGGTCATTCGGCCAGACTCAGGAGACCCTGCCGAGACACTTATTGAGGTACAAAATATTTACAAAATATCTATGTGATAATGAACTTGTGGATTTTTCTCGTGCCATAGCCGTCTTGTGTATCTCCCTTCTCCCATTAAACTGACACTGATGTTTTATTATTTTCATTAGTTCTTAAAAATATAGTTAGAACACAGAAGCACAGAAAAACAATTTGAGAGTAAAATAAACTGTAAACGGTGACACAGTTCTCTTCTCGCTGCTTTTCAGATGGCTGCACAATATATTGCGTAAATATCGATATCGCAATATTGACTGACACAATAATTTATACTTTTTGGAAAGTAGAAATGGACAAAAAAGCTGATTTTATCCATGATTTCACTGTGAAGTCCAATATTAGTCTTGTATTGGTCTTGGTTTTGCCTCAAGTTTTTATTTTTACCCAATTTGACTAGTAAATTGATGCATTTTTTGTTTTAAATTAACTTAACTTATTGTGACAAAAAGTATATATTAAAATATTGCATTAATATCATTAACGGAATACAAAACAAAGTTATCTAATCTTGCATGTTTTCACATATCTTGCTGTCCTACTTATAACATAATCTTTCCCACAGGTCATAAAGATTCTGGAAGATTGTTTTGGCTGCTCCAAGAACTCTATGGGTTACAAAGTGCTGCCCTCATATCTGCGTATTATCCAGGGAGATGGTATAGACCTCATCTCTATTAATGACGTAAGCAAAATTAAATGTAAACTGTACAATGTTAAATGTACATTTTGTTATTATTATTATTATTATTATTATATGCTTTTAACTGTGTACTCAGGATGCCATTGACAATGAGATGCAATCTGAATCAGACTTTCTGATAAAATAAAATTAATAAATAGCCAATTGACCATACTAACCATCATTCTTTCATGGCACATTGAAATTTTGCTGATAAATATTAAACCACGAATTGTGATTTGAAGTTAGGGGTGGGTGATAAATCTGTTCCAATATCAGTATCGGATATCGGAAGGTTTTTGGAACAAAGATCGTGTAGAGCGGGTTAATACGAATATTTTAAGACCAAAATGACAATGTTCACTGCAGCAGTTATAGATTGTCCTCATGACATCAGACTAATGAGTAAATGATCCATTGATACGACAACTTAAGGTCAATTTTTTGGCTATAGGTTTTGAAGAGAGCTATATATTGTGTGTTTTTGGTTTTCAGTCTGCAAACAAATAAGTTTTGTGATATTAGTTAATGCATTTTTATACTTGTGGTCATGTTATCTAGACACGGCAGTAGAAAGACACAAGCATTTGTCTCTCTAATGATGATGATGATGTCGTCTTGTTTTACAGATCCTTCAGAAGTTGAGTGAAGAGGGTTGGAGTGCTGAGAATGTTCTCTTTGGATGTGGAAGTGCTTTGCTTCAGAAGCTCAACAGAGACACACTGAGTTGTGCCTTTAAGTGTAGCTATGTGGAGACAAACGGAAAAGGCGTATGTTATCAACTTCACTTGTTGCTTTTTTTTAAGCCTCCCACTAGTCTTTTTAAGAGCTTTGCCAACGAGTTTGTTTTCTTTAAGAGATGGTTTGTAACATTTTGTTACCCCCCCACCACCACCCCCAAAGTTAACATGTTAAATTAACTTTGTAATTGTAATGGTTAATTCTTAATTACAAAGACACTGGAACATCACAAGCAAGATCCAATTTGAAGTTTTGGTTCTCAAACACCCAATCAGAAAGAAGAATGAGCTTCACAGGAGTCTCTCATTTGGGTCTCAAATCTGTTTGGTTCAAACCCAAAAGGATTCTCTGTTTGGAATCCTCACCACTAAATGCCAGTACCTGCAGCCATTCATGAATCAGTACTTGTGCAACCTCTGCAGCTCAGGGAGGGAATGAGTGAATTCTGGAGGCTCTGAGCTTTCACATTTCACATGTCCATGTACTGAGAATTAAAAAAAACTGAAACCCCCCAAATGTTCAGTGAAGTAGTTGCAGATTGCATTTAATGTTCACCTTAGAAAAATAAATGCTTCTGCTTTGCTTTTAATATCTATGTGCATTTACTTTTTGCAGATGGACGTGTATAAGCAGCCAGTGACTGATCCCTCCAAAGGGTCAAAGCGGGGCCGGCTATCTCTGAGGAGAAACTCTGGTGGTTTTATTGAGACAGTGGAGAGAGGCGCAGGGAAGCCAGAGGAGGTTTGTCATATATTATAATCAAAGAGAGTTGGTGTGTACAAGGGAATATGGAATAATAGCAAGTGTTTTGTTAAAACGATATTCATTTAATGTTTACTGTAAACGATTATTAAACAGTTGAACAGCAAACATCTGTGTGACCAGTGAAAGTAACCCCTGATATTTGTATTTCCGCATTCATGAATTATTGCTGCCATGTATACAGTACAACAGTTACAAAACTGTGTAATTGATGTATATTGATGCCTGCTTCTTCTTTTTCTATTACAAATGTTGCAGGATCTGCTTGTGACTGTGTTTGAAAATGGGATCCTCCTTCGAGAATATACTCTGGATGAGATTCGAAAGAATGCTCGACTGCGAGACCTTGACATAAGCACCACCATGTACAACAGTGAGAAGGAAAGGCTGGGGAAACATATTCTCAATGGACTGCACTGAAGCTAACAGCTGTGATTCTAACTACGCAGCAGCCAGCAGGGACAGTTCCTTCAGACAAAATTGGCCACATTGCTACTCACTTGTTTCCAGAGGAGGCCACATGAAAATATTTTCATATAGGTTTTGCTTCTCTGGCAGGATATCGACTTTGGGGTTTGTCAACACACATTCCTGCATGTTAGACCATCGGTGGTGACCAAACAAGTATCATATGAAGACTTTCTTGTATTGTTTCCTCTCACCCATAGAACAATTTACCATAATAACATACCAATTTGATTTAATAAGCTATAGTGTATCTAACAGCAAAGGTTGTTTTTTAACATGCAAACAGTATGGTTTTATTAAAAATGTTGTTTAAAGTATGATTTATATGGTTTCTTTGAGACCATTCATAATTAATATTATGCACTGCGATTTTGTTACTACTTCACTGCCACATAAAACTGAAAAGCTAACCACAATATGTCATTCATCTTATTTAAACACATCCTTTAATCAGTTGCCATTTGAAAATGTGATGAACTTGAGCTACCACAAGTGAAACTATGTTATATGTTACAAAGCCAATCCAGTTCATATTATATAATACATATTACAAAAATAGACCATGAAAAAAAATCCACATTTACTTTTACTCCAAAGAGCAAAATCCTGATCATTCTATCCCTCTAGATCTAGTCTAGTCACTTAAGATAATGTACTGCTACCCCTTACCAGGGTAAGCATCTGAAGTGTCTACATAGAAAAGAACAATGCGTTGGTCTTTGGCGCCCTCTGCTGGACTAGCAACAGCAATCATACAGGTGGCGCTCACATAGGCACATAACAGGGTAGCATCTTTTAATAGTGGAAATTAGACAGAGGCACCAGACAGTGGGCTAATTGTTGTTATACTTAAGGTACTAAAGGAAATTATTAATTTAAAAAAATCTCCAAATATTGATCTCTGGAGCAGGTATCAGTCTTTTTTTGTTGGTCTGAATATGTTTAATTATTCAATTTAGCCTAAAGGATCCATCATTATTCCATCCATTTTCTTCCGCTTATTCGGGCCTGGGTTGCAGGGGCAGCCGTCTAAGCAGACTTCCTTCACTCCAGACACTTCCTCCAGCTCCTCTGGGGGGACCCAAAGGTGTCCCCAGGCCAACCGAGAGACATAGTCCCTCCAGCGTGTCCTGTGTCTTCCCCAGGGCTTCCTTCTGGTAGGACATGCCCAGAACACCTCCTGAGGGAGGCACCCAGGAAGCATCCTGAACAGATGCCCGAGCCGCCTTTGCTGCTCCTCTCCATGTGGAGGAGCAGCAGCTCTACTCTGAGCTCCTCCCTTGTGACTGAGCTCCTCACCCTAGGGGAGCGTTCAGCCACCCTGCGGAGGAAACTCATTTCGACTGCTTGTATCCGCAATCTTGTCCTTTCGGTCATTACCCAAAGCTCATGACCATAGGTGAGGATAGGAACGTAAATTAACCGGTAAATCGAGAGCTTTGTGTATCGAACGGCGAGGTGTTTTACTCTGAGTTATTATTATTATTATCATTAATAATAATAATACATAACACTTGTATAGCACTTTTCAAGATACCCAAAGACGCTTTACATGAGAAGACAAACAACGACAAACAAGAGAAAAAGACAGTTAATGAAAGGGTTTTTATAAGAGATGGGTTTTCAGGGCTTTTTTAAACATGGGGAGTGTGGATGAGTCTCTGATGTGTTTGGGCAGGGAGTTCCAGAGGGTGGGGGCAGCAGCAGAGAAGGCCCGGTCCCCCCGGGTCTTATGTTTAGTCGTGGTGTTGTTCTGACATCCAGAATACATCCTGTTGACATGTTGCTTGATATTGAAGCAGTTTAATATTTCCAAGAAATGGAGTGGTGGTCCAGATGGAAGTTGAAATCTCCTAGGAGTTTGGTCAGTAATGCGGAGAAATCAGACAAGAACGAAGGATTATTTAAATTATTATTATTATTTTGCATTTATTTATTTTTTCCCTGAATGAATTTGTTTGTTGCTTGATTATTTCTTTCAGTTATGTTTAATCATTTCAGCCAAAATGCTCTAAATTCCAACTTTCATTTTCTGAAGAAATGAAACTGAGAGTAGCAGTTCCATTACATTCCGGGCGTGTGTTTTTGATACAGTCAAACTGTTTTTCTTGGTAGTGACCCTTCATCCGTGTCCTTGTTGGCAGTGCAGCAGTAGTATCGACAACTGCAGACATGAGCACATTGAATCAAGAGTACGATGAGACAGTGCGTCCCTGCATTGATCTCATCGATAAGCTTCGCTCTCTGGGAGTGGAGCAGGACCTGGCGCTGCCCGCTATCGCCGTCATCGGAGACCAAAGCTCGGGGAAGAGCTCTGTGCTGGAGGCGCTCTCCGGAGTGGCGCTGCCCAGAGGAAGCGGTAGGTGAAAGGAGCGATAACTTTATCACTCATCGCATTTAACTAAGGTTACAGTTTAACTAAAAGATATCTGATGATGTCTCGACGAGAATCTATAAGCCTTTCTTTTAACCTGTATCAAAGAGATGCTGGTTAAAGGTGCACTGTGAAACTTTTCTGGTGGATGGCCCATCAAATACTGTTCTCCAGGGAAATGTTATTCCTTTTTCTTGAATGCTTCACAGTATGATATTAAGTCTTACTGTCTTCATGGAAACCAAACCAGGCCAAGTTAGGTCAGATTTGTGAAGAGGCAACCTCACTGTCAGGCCTGTTTTTCTAGATTTCTAGGAGCTATACAACCACCTGTAATTGAATGAATGTAAGGTAGAGCTGTTTAATGTCATACAGTAAAACATTCCAGGCATAGTTATGACATATCCATGAAACAAGTAGGTGATGGAGCCCCAAACAAAAAGTTACACAGTGCACCTTTAAAGTTAGGCTACATCATTTCCATTTTTATCTTGGCCTACATGCAAAATCTGAGTCTCAAATTCATTTGGATGTACTGTTAACTTTATTTTAACTTACAGGTCTGTGTTAACTGTATTAAGTTGGGACACAAAAAAGTGCTTAAAAATATCTATCCTACTAATAAGAGGCCTAGAGAAAAACTGGATTTTGATTTTCATGTTGATAATGCAGGCATTGTGACAAGATGTCCCTTGGAGCTTAAGATGAAGAGAACCAAAGAGGGGGTGAAATGGAAAGGAAGAATTAAATACGGGAACTACACTGAAGACATAAGTAAACCTGCGGAGGTGGAAGGGAAGATTAGACAAGGTACACACCCCACTCTGACCTGTCTTGGGCTATTCTTTCTTACAGTGAATATACTTGAACACTGTATTTAGTATTACATTAATTTTGTTTTCTTCTGTCTACAGCTCAAGAGTTATTGGCTGGGAAGGGCTGTGGAATCAGTCATGACCTCATAAGTCTGGATATAGCCTCTCCTGACGTACCAGACCTTACACTTATCGACCTGCCTGGAATCGCCCGTGTGGCTGTGAAAGGACAACCAGAAAATATTGGAGAACAGGTATTGTATACATTTCTCCTAAAAAGCAATAAAGTTCTGGCCTAGTGTTGCTGAAATGTGTATACTCTGATGTTGTGTCCTGTACAGATCAGGTGTAATTTGAATGAATCCTAAATGTGTGTTGTGCTGTGAGATATGCTTTGCAGGTTGTATTATTTACACATTGACGTGGTCAGATTCATAAAAGTGAAAAAATGCATAGCACGCTTACATGGCCGATGTCCAAAAACTTTTTTTTTTTTTTTTAAAGTAACGTTTCAGCAAAAATCCTTCATCAGATATTTTTTCTTGCTTTGGAGCACAGTACCAATGCAACTTGGGTAACTTGTTTCCTGTTAGTACAGTGCCACGGTTTTAATGTGGGAGGCGGCTTCTCTTGGTCTCTCTTGGTAATAGGTGCTTTGCTGTTAGCGTCACTACATCCTGTCCAATTTGATCTCTTTGAGGTTAATGCAAATTTTAAATCATAAATGTTAAAACAACATTCAGTCATTCAGGTGTTTATTTTATATTTTACAATTTTAATACATTTGACAGTTAGCTTTGAAACACAGTGAGGTAGCTAGCATGTTACTGTACAAACAAACAATAATAAGCTCTGTGCATCTAGCAACTAACACCTGAGGACCCGCATTTGTCTTTGTATTAAATTATAACATGAACCCTGTGTGTTTTTTTCTTTTTTGTAAGCCTTTCTTGGGACAGACATTGCAAATTATCTAAATTAGCAATAAATGTTGTGTGTGTGTGTGTGTGTGTGTGTACATTCTTTTTATTATCAAACAAATAATAAATAAATAAATACAATGATAATTTTATTAAACATATTTTTATTTATTTATTTCAGATCAAATCCTTAATCAGTAAATTCATCACAAAACAAGAGACGATCAGTTTGGTGGTTGTCCCTTGTAATGTGGACATTGCCACGACGGAGGCTTTGAAGATGGCCCAGGAAGTGGATCCGGAGAAACAACGTACTTTGGGTAAATATTACTGAAGAAGCACCTCCAAAAAATGATGTGATGCCCCAAAGCAAAACGGTTCATCTTTTGGATGATTTATTCTCAGGAATTTTGACCAAACCAGATCTGGTGGACAAAGGCACAGAGAGGGATGTTGTTAAAATAGTCCAGAACAAGGTGATCCCTCTAAAGAAAGGCTACATGATCGTCAAATGCAGAGGTCAGAAGGATATTATGGAAAATATGTCTCTAAACAAGGCAATAAAAATCGAGGAGGCCTTCTTCAGAGACCACCAGATATTTAAGTAATCCTGCATCAGTGTTGTGTTGTTTCTGCAACATATGGTCCTGTTTTCTTTAACTTGTTTGTATGTGATAGTTCTCTTTATTATGACGGGTGTGCTACAGTTCCAAAACTTGCAAAGAAACTCACTCTGGAGTTAGTGGAGCATATTAAGGTAGTGGTTTGAAAACATCTCTTTCCTTTTACTGTTACATGTTACTAAATAGTATCAGTGATTGCTGTCATATTGTTAGAGATCTTTGCCTCAACTTGAAGAGCAAATAAAGAAGAAACTCATACAGACAAACACAGAGCTGGAGAAGTATGGTGATGGACCACCAAGTGAGCCCGCTGACAGGCTCTGTTTTCTGATTGACGTGAGTATGTACAGTAACTATTTTAATAACCAAAACAGACGCTTTAAAATCACTCCAGGTTCCTTATGTTTGCTTTAGCTCAGTATTAATTACAAGGCACGGTCAAAATTAGATTATCGTGTGTTACAGAAAGTCACTGCATTCACTCATAAAGCCATCAGCCTCACCTCAGGAGAGGAACTCAACATAGAAAAGAACATCTATTCATCATTGAGAAAAGAGTTTGGGTTATGGAAAGACATCATAGAGAGCTCCGGAACATCATGTAAGTTATCAGTGCATATTATATCCACTGATATTCGATCCACTGAGGGTTTGCACAATGCTTTCTGGTGAAAATGCACTATTTACAGAGCCAGACCAACAACTCCTGAGTTATTGGTTTAAATGTTTCTTCCATGTCTCAAAATGTGCATTTGCTGCTGCCTTAAAGCTTCCATCTGTAATTATGCTGGTCGACCCGCCCCTGTTGTATTCTCACATATCTCCACTTATATATCGCCACTATCTACATTACTGGTGTCTGATAGTGTGCCAGTTTGGCCAGGTGAGGGGAAGAGGAACAGGTAGTACATTGTTCACTGGGTGAAAAATAATAATAATTAGAAAGAAAGAATAATATTCTGATACGAAAATGTTCTGCTTTTTTTTTGGCTAACAAACTATACATTTTCGGAAAGCTCTGGTGCATTGCTACGTCATGGCGAGGGTCCCTGGTCACTACGGGTGCATTTTTATTCAATCTAACTCTAAATTCTGCTGGTTCTATAAACATGAGTAATCACATATCCTCACTTTATGTTCAACCATGTATATCAAGTGACAAGTTTACCAAAATATATTGTTTTAATTTAACTCATTTAGAAGTAAAAAAGAAAAAAAAGAGCATGTTTAAAAGTAAAATGAACTGAGATCCACTGTGTGTTAACACCCTAATTATTAGGGTGTTAACACACAGTGGATCTCAGGGCCTAATATAATAACTGTTACTGCTACCACTAGTAACATCATCAGTGTTAGACCAAATCCTTATAAATGTTATGATGTGTAGTCAACTGCAAACTGGAAAGAGAGGTGGCCCAGTATGACCGAATGTATAGAGGAAGAGAACTGCCAGGGTTCATCAACTACAAGATGTTTGAGCGAATGGTTAAAGACCAGATCAAACTCCTGCAGGAGCCCGCCCTCACCAAGCTCCGACAAGTAGCAGGTGCTCACCAACTATGACCCATTCATATTACACTGTACTTTAAGTATGTTTGAGTGAATGTGTTTTACTGTGTGCTTCCAGAAATTGTGAAGAAGGAAATGATCAAACTATCAATGAACAGTTTTGTTGGATTTCCAAATCTAATGAAAACAGCCAAGGTATCGTTTCACAACATTATTTTCTGACTTGAATGCATTTATCTTCATATTTAACATGATATTTATGGTTGTCATAGCTCAAGATTGAGACTATCTTTAAGGACAAAGAGGCTGTAGCAGAGTCCATGCTGAGGACTCAGTTCAAAATGGAGCAGCTGGTCTACACACAGGACAGCACATACAGCAAAAAGCTGGGCAAGCGCAAGAGGACTGAGAATGTGGATGTACAAGGATTTGGACTTCTTCTGGCCAAGAGCAACACAAACAATAATGACAACACTGCCAGCCTTAAAGAAATGATGACTCATTTGAAATCGTATTACAAAGTAAGTTGTACTTTGTTTGTAGAGTGTACTGATCATGAGATTATACGATTTTACTATTAGGTTCTTTTTTACCCTCTGAAGCTGTTATGCTGTTTTTAATTTCAACCACACAATTACATTTCAGGGAAAAGGCAGTATTTCACAAATTCAGTTAATTTAAATTATTGTTGTGTGTTATTTATTGTAGTCTTCTCCCATGAGATAATGCACTAAAACCAGGTCTAACAACCACAGGACTGTTCCAGGTCCAAACTGACTAAATTAGGTCTAAAATAGGAACTCATCTTGGCAAAGCAGATGGACATTCAAATATGATTACATTTGACTGTAAAATAAGAATGCAAGAGGATACACACATGTTGTCGAAACCACAGCCATGAAGCCACTGGCATAAATCATATAATGCTGATATTTATACAAAAAATGTGATGTTGAATGTGGGCAGTTATTGCTTTTTATCAGTGTAACACTTTATTAACATTAACAGTTTAATGTGCTGCATTTCCAATAAAAAATTACAAGTATGTCATTATTAGTACATGAGTAGTTAATTTTTAATAAACCTTTGTATATTGTTTGTAGATGTTCTCAATTAAACATTTATGAATGTTTTATTAATTAGTAATAACACTTTTTGTCCTGTTCATGTTTCTACGTGATTATTAAACACTTGTTAATGACTAGGTAATTTTTAGTAAATGATTAGGTAATGGTTAATAAATATTTACAAATTATTTGTATGTATGCCTTATTATAAAGTGTTACCGTTATATTTTTAAAGGCAGCCATCTTTCTTTACCTGTGTTTGTGTGGTAGATTGCTGGGCAGCGACTGGCGGACCAGATCCCTCTGGTGATAAAGTTCCAGATGCTGCAGGAGTCGTCTGCTGAGCTGCAGAGGCAAATGCTACAGCTGCTCCAGGACAAGGAGGAAATAGAGGTCCTGCTGAAAGAGGACGGCAGTATAAGAGACAACAGGGACAAACTACACAGCTGCCTCCAGCGCCTCAACGATGCTCGTATCCTCTTGTCTGAGTTTTGAGTACACATACGTATATACATATTGTTTTTAATTAATGAGCATAAGATAGAATTTATTGTATGTCCAAAACAATCAAACTTTGATTTATATATTATTATATACACTGTGTGAAATATTTCAAGATAATGAAAACCCAAAATTCAGTGTCTTCGGAAAACTGGAATATTACTTAAGATCAGTTTTTTTTTATATATATTTTAAATAGAATGTTAATTTTTATGCACTCAACACTTGGTTGGGCCTCCTTTGGCATAAATTACTGCATTAATGTGCCATAGCATGGAGGAGATCACCCTGTGGCACTGCTCAGGTGTAATGGAAGCCCAGGTTGCTTGATAGTGATCATCAGGTCATCTGCATTGCTGGGTCTGGTGTCTCTCATCTTCCTCTAATACACCACTGATTCTCTATGGGTTCAGGTCAGACTAGTTTGCAGACCAATAAAGAACAGTAACACTATGGTCACTGAGCCATCTTTTGGTACGCTGAGCTGTGTGGGCATGCGCCAAGTCCTGCTGGAAAATTGAAATCAGCATTTCCATAAAGCATGAAGGAAGAAGGAAGCATGAAGTGCTGTAAAAATGTCCCGGTAGATGGCTGTGTGAACTGTGAACTTCAGAAAACACAGTGGAGCAACACCAGTAGATGACATGGCAGCCCAAATCAAAAAGTGATGTTCTTAAATCTGTGTGTGACTGTGTTACAGACATAAAGATGTGGCTGGGGCAAAATTTCTTTCACTTATAAATGAGGACAAAACAGAAGGCATTTTATATGGTGATTCTTCTTTTTCAAATTTTGGCTGGTTATCGTCCAAGTTAAAAATCAACTGTAAGGAATCTGAGTCACTTTTGATAACAATTTTATGTTTAACAAACACAGTGACAGTGTGGTGAGATCAACTTTCTATCAACTACATCTTTTATCGAAACTAAACACTTTTTAAATTGCTCCAGAATAGACTATTGTAACGCCCTTTATGTGGGGTTGTCCCAGTCAGGCCTCAGTCACCTCCAGCTCATTCAGAACACTGCAGCGTCTTTTTTAAACATCACTCCCATACGTCAGCACATCACCCCAGTCTTCCAGTTCCACTTCCACTTTTTTTTTTTTTTGAGTTGATTTAAACATTTGTTTGTTTTTAGCTCTTAAAGACCTTGCTCCCACCTATTTGACTGAACTCCTGTCTATCCACAACTCAAATGGGACTGGTTTTTAACACTCAGTAATGGACTGACACTTTGCACCATTTTGCACAAAGTTGTATTTCATTGTTTCATGTTTTGAATGTTTCTATATTGTGTTGGTTTTATTGGAAAGCATTTTGGTCACCTTGAGCATTGAGCTAAATAAATTAAGTTTGATTGACTGATTGATTGATAGGAAACCTTTATAAGCCTTTCGAGCTAATTAGCTGATTAGGATGTGATACTATAACTTCCCAATATTCAGCTTTTTCACACTATTCAAATTTTCTGAGACTAAGAATTTTGGGTTTTCATTATCTGTAAGCCATAATCATCAAAATGTCAAGAAATAAAGAAATAAAGCCTCACTATGTATCATAATATATGGTCTTTTTGAAAAGAAATTTCTTAACAAATATATACATGTTTTTATACAGTTCACATATATGTTTCTAATATAATATATATTATATATATATATATATATATATATATATATATATATATATATATATATATATATATATATATATATATATATATATATATATATATATAATGTTAATAAAGTATCATATTGATTATATTTAGGTTTTGCTATAGAACACCTACTTGATATTCAGATTCAAGATAAATCAAGTAATATTTGCAGCCAATTAAAAAGCCTGGTCTGTCCTTCCCTCCATGTATCACCATAGAATCTAAATCACAATTTGAATAGTTGTCCCTTCTCATTCTGTATAAAACCTGGAAAGCTAGACAGATCGATACCTTATTAATCCCAAGGGAATTTGCAATGCAGTCTGTTGCTCACATTAAAACATCACATACATAAAAACAATCAGAGTTAAGAGATTACAAACATTTAAAATGTAAAACGTAGCAACCAGTGCATAATCAATAAATAAAGTGCTAAGAAGTCAGAGACACTGACCAAACCCCCAAATCCTCGTCTCTGTCCGTGGAGCAGGTCAATGAGTCTAGTGCTCACACAGCTACACAGAACAGAGTGCAGCTGGCTATATGTATAAATAATAAACAGTGTGCTCTGATGACCATGGGCACCACTGATGCCTTCACCTTCCAGGCCTTGTCCAGCTCTTCTTTAAGCCGCTGGTATTTCTCTCGTTTCTCGTGTTCCTTTTTCCTGATGTTCCCCTCGCTTGGTTATGAAAGCCCATTTCAGCCAGTAAATAAAAAATAAAAGTCTCACATAAAGTCATCGTTATGAGTTTTAAAGTCCTAATTAATATTAATTAATAAGGAGTTTAAAAGTCATAATTATGACTTTGATGTTTGTTAATATTTTGTGTGATTTTTGTACATAAGGTGTGAAGAGTAGACGTGAGGACTTTTCTTGATAAAGAGGGTGGGCATGTAAGCCAATTGGCTGTGGCATTTGTGCGCATAGACCACAGATGTCAAACATAAGGCCCGGGGGCCCTCCAAGACCTTTGATGTGGCCCCCGGCTGATTTTCTAATATTCCACAGTATGGCATAAAACTTATGTTAAACCGTTCCTGTCTCGGTCCTCGGACCGTGGTCAGAGGACACAGGGGAGAATCGTCTTCGTATCCAGGCGGTTTGCGACTTGAAAGAGAGCACAAGAACCATAATATTAGTTGTTGACATGGAGCGTCTACAGCAGCAGCAGCCGCAGCGCAGCAACAACCAGATCAAGTGGTAAAGGTGCACGCCCACCACATCTACAGCTGAGTGGTCACGCCCACCACATCTGGGTCTGGAAGCAGAAGATGTAGTCTACCAGTTGTGTTCACAGCAAGATTTTGTGTAATATTTCACTCTGGGTGATTGTGTCAAAATGATCCAATGAGTCAATCCCTATTTTGGTAGCAAATTGTGTGAACTAGATCATTGTACACATTATATAAGTCTGTACATGTCTACACAAACACAACATTCATGACAGTGATGACACGGACAGCATTTTGTGCTTGACCATTTTTATTTGTTACACGACACAGCGATATGGCACCTGTTATAGGAGCGTCTGGAACAGCGACCAGATCAAGTGGTTACTTCAAACCCCAGGTCGTGATGGGAACATGTGCGGGAAACATTTGGATTGTTTTCCTATGGGGAAATAATACGCCACGATAAAGAAGGTTTAACGCGACAATACAGCTCGGGCAGTTTTGTCTCTCTGTGGGAGTGAATGGAAGCCGAGAGGGCACGCCCCCCATGCTTCCAGATGTGGCTCCGCCTTTACCAGTTAAAATGATCGCCAGACAATCCGGAACACCGGGACTGGGTCAGTTGCCACCGGGCCGGAGCTCTCGCTGCTGCCGCCGGGGCCAGGCAAAGGATAAAGTCTATCCGCCTTTGCCCGCTCGTTTCTGGGTGTAAAAGTTTGACCTGGGCGTAGCGCAGAGGCAGAAGTCTACCTAGTGTCCCAGTGCTAATATGGACTGGTGTAACTTTCAGATTTAAGTAGCAAGTGGGATTAAGTTTTAGTTTTACAACCAGCTCGTGCATTCGGCTCCGGGACCTCGCGTCACGGACCAGACTGGACCGGGATTTGAACCAGTTTGATCTCTTCATATTGGACAATAGACTTTTGGAGACAGAACCAATAGGACAGTGGATAGAGGAAACACTCTGCTTCAGTCTCTGTAGAAGGTAAGAGGCTTGTTTCTTTAATTTGCGGCAAATCTGAAGATGGAGCGTCACAGAGAAATAGTGTTATATTTAAATAGCGCGTAAATGAGCTGGTGTGTGCGGTGGAGCTGCTCCGGTTGTTCTGTCGTGTGCTGTAGGAGCGGCGCTGATGTCGTGTGTTCATATTGTGACCAGAGCCTCTTATCTTATTGTAGTTTTGCTGACGTTGTTGGGTCTGGGTGTGGGCGGCGTGTTACGTTGTGTTGTTGCGAAGTTTTCGCGTGGCTGTTCATTGTGCTCTGATATAGTTCAGCCACTAGAAACCAAAATATTCATAATATATATTTATAATTTTGGCCTTGGTGCCCCTACCAAAAATTATACCACCATTATTATAATTTTTTTTATATATATAATTTTTTCGCTTTTTTAAGTTCTTCGCTCAAGACTCGTGGTTTTATTTACCGTGATGCACTAAATAACATGGCACTCGCTCCGGTCGCCTCCCTACCATTCATTTCACACACTGAAAAATAAACACAGACAGACACCCGTACGCTCCGCGGGCCCATTTAAAAGCGCGTGCCTCGGGGGCGCGCACGCAGTCCCTCACTCACGCCCACGCCACTCGCCTCTCTAAACATTGCACATAGGATTACATATATATCTCATAACACTTATATAGCTCCATGGAGAGTGTGCTGATATGAAGCTTGGTTTACACTTTCTGTTTCCGTGGAATCATTCAGGTGCCGCCTCCTTACATTCAGTTCTTTTAACTTTCGGTTTCTTGTGAAACCAGCGCTGACGCAAAAGGCTGAGCGACCGAGGATAAAAGCAGGAAGCTACTTAGTTCCAAACATCAGCATGGAGTCTTTGCATCCTGACAGAATGCGATCCTACATCGACGTTGTAGATTTGCTCCGTCCTCTGAAGCAGGACCTGGCGCTGCCCACTATCGCCGTCATCGGAGACCACAACTCGGGGAAGAGCTCTGTGCTGGAGGCGCTCTGTGGGGTGCCGCTGCCAAGAGGTAGGTGTGCCAGCCAGGGCCATTCGGGACATAAGGTGCCTAGCTCCATGTTTTATTGTGCTTCCAAACAGTAAGAAATGCAATAGGCCTCGTAAACCAAGTGTGCTTTATTCAAACCTAGAAAAATCTTATCCGTTTGATGCAGTGTAAAGAACAGCCTATAAAATATTGACATTGTTTTATAACATTTATTCTAACAACAATTAGAAACAAAATATTACGTTGATTATTTGTATTGTACTAAATCACAATTGAAATCATTTTGATTTTTTTTATACTATCTAAAACATGCTGGGTGCTCTTTCAGGGCTAGAAAACACTGTACATCTAAGAATGAACAAAACAAAAGGAAGTGAATGGTATGCCATATTCAAGTACCGCAAACAGTCAAGCTCGTCATTTGAGGAGAAAATAATACATCACCGCAAGGATGTGGCAGAGACAGTAAGGTAAGTAAATGTTTATATTTGTATCTGTAAAATAAATTAAGACACAAGAAAAGGTGCATAGTACAACTTTAACTTTGTCATTATTATTTATAATTAGTTTCTTTGTTTGTTCTTTAGGAATACCTTGGAACTACATGCACAGTGGCATGTTTATTCTGGAAATTTTCTCTCCTGATGTACAAGACCTGACACTCATTGCTCTTCCCAGTATCCCCACTGATGAAGGATATGAACAAACTAAGAACAAGGTACACTGCTTATCATAAGTTTAGTACATTTGTACACACACACACAGATACATGCTGATATTCTGACTCAATCTACTCTAATCAATCTAAAGATAAAAACACACATAATGGAGTTCACCACAAACCCTGAGTGCATCATTTTAATGGTGGTCCCTTGTAATGTGGACATAACTACAACAGAGGCTTTCAAGTTGGCCCAGGAGGTGGATCCTGATGGAGAGAGAACTTTGGGTAAATAAGATCAGAATAAAGAAAATAAAGAAAATGTGATATATTCATTTGTAATAGATATCCATAATGTCTTTTTTTGTTCTTGTGTATATCCTAGGTATCTTGACCAAACCTGATCTTGTTGACCAAGATAAGGAAAAGGACATTGTTGCCATTGTCCAAAACAAGTTCATCAAGTTAAAGAAAGGATTTATGATTGTAAGATGCTATGATCAAACTAAAAATTCAGTTATGGATCCCATTGAGAAAGAACAAACCTTTTTTAAAGATCATGCTCTTTTCAAGTAAGTGTATATCAAATAAGATTGTGTTATACTGTATCATGTATATTCTATAACTTGAGTTTATTTTTTGTAGATCTTTTTATGATGATGGATTTGCTACATTTCCTAAACTGTCTGAAAGACTCTGCAAGGAGCTGATGCAACAAACTGAGGTAGGACATCGACTTTACTTCTCATCCACCTCAATTACACAATTTTTTCTTTATTTGTATTATTCTTGTATTTTAGAAAAACCTTCCTCAACTAAAAGAATATGTAAAGAAAGAGCTTCTGGAGGCTAATGCTGCACTAAAGAGACTTGGAGACGCACCTCCATCTGATGAAGCTGACAAACTGACTTTCCTCACTAATGTAAGTCTCTGAAGGAATAAACCCTCTCATATAAATAGCTCATTTAACTGTTGTTGTGTTCTTTGTTAGAAACTTACCAAGTTCATTCAAGATGTAATGAGACTCACAACAGGGGATCTAATGGATCTCACAGACCAAAATGTATTTGATGTATGGAGAAAAATTGTCAAGGACTCTGATGAATCATGTAAGTTAGAAATGTTTCTTAATAGTATTAATTAGCATTTTACTTTTTTTTTTTTTTTGGTTTTGTTTTGGTGATCTTGTCCTTTTAACAGTTCAGTGTAAATTGGAGGTGGAGTTGGCCCATCAACAGTCAGAGGTCAGTAACTTTGAGACACTGGAGCATTTGATTAAACACCAAATCAAACTTCTGGAGGATCCTGCTCTTTTCACACTCAACAACATGACAGGCAAGTCTTAACTATTGACATTAATTATAGTAAAATTGTCGTGCTGTGTCTATTTTTTACTTTTAATGTGTCCACAGAAATTGTTAGGAATGAGTTACTGAAGCTGATGGAGAACCATTTTTTGGGATTCAACAACCTCATCTGCAAAGTAAAGGTGTGAACTTTATAGTCTTGTAACTATAGTCATGTATGCTATATGTTGTTAAATCTTCCTTGATACTTGTCAGAGTACAATTTCTGATGTGACTTCAAAAAAACAAATGGCAGCAGAGTCATGGCTGAGGACTCACCTCAGGATGGAGCAGTTTGAAGTTCAGGCAGAGGCCAGCAGGTGTAAACAAAAGACAGAGAAGAAAAGAGGCACTGCAACACAACTTTACTCATATTATCAGGTGAGTGACGTCTAGGAATTTTAATATATCAGAAACCTTCAAAGAGGCATGAACATATGATGAATAATCAATGAATTCATTAAGAAATACCTACAGCCTCACAGATTGGACACAAGAGCAATAACCTGGAGTGTATTGGTGACTCTAAAACTGAGGCACTCAAAAAGGTTATTATTCAAAACCCTTTATTACCACATGGCAAGAAGGGTCAAAATGCCAATGTGTTTTGGCCCTTCAGTTTTCCTTGGGGCTGATGTATAAAACCCCCGGTGGAAATTGCCATCTGGACGGGTCCATGTTTCCCCTAGTGACCGCTATAATGGTCCTAACACACTGTTTTACTCTTTCAGTGTTTTCCTGATAATATTAACCTAATTAAAGCCAAATGTGCAGCATAAGTATAGCTTTATTTCTTTGGGCAGTGTACATAATGGACCCCTGTATGTTTTTCCCCCCTTCTGTTTTTCCAAGACTGTCTGTCAGCGATTGGCCTGCCATATCCCAATGATGATCCGCTTCTACATGTTCAAAGAATTATCCACTGAACTGCAGACAAAACTATTGCAAATTCTGAATGACACTAAAGTCTCAAATTTGCTTAATTACAACTTAGTAGGACTAAGACGGGAAACTGAGAGAAGCTTCATTCCTCTGACAAAGGCACAGATTATGTTGTTAAAATTGTAAAGCATCCCATTTAATGACAGATAAAATGACTGAATTACTCCAAGAGTAATTAAGTCCCTTAAAAGATTTTTGTCTTTTAAGCACTTGTCTTTGAATTCTGTTTTGCGTACTGCTTTTCCTTCACACTGTTTAAGAGATATTTCATTTAGAAAATCAGTTTGCCAATCTTGGCTGGTCATATTGGTCTAATAATGTAATAACTGCAATCAAAGTAGTAAACTCCATGCAATGGTTTTGAATTACATTTTTAAGATGTATTTTTCTACAGCCTAAATATGTTTGTTATATGATTAAATATGTTAATGAAACCTGTTTGTCACCACTCCACAATGCACATTCTTTGCCTATGTTGCATTATGCTTCAAGTACTTTTGATAATAAATAAAAAAGAAAATACATTTTTTGGTAACTTTGGCTATTTTCTTAGAGACCTGTAGTTGTCTGTATGCATAATATTCAGATGATCTTATGAAGTAGTGTGACAATCCTACCACTAGCCTCATCAATAAATAAATAAACAAAACAAAAGGGCCCGTCAAATGCTTTTCTCCATGGAAATGCCAATTCTTTGACTGGAATGTTTCACAGGATGGTATTAAACTTTCTTCATGGAGACCAAAGTAGACCAGGTTAAAGATCATATCTGTTAAGAGGCAACCCCACTCAGTCAGAATGCTGTTGCTCTATAGCTATAAAACCATCTATAATTGAATAAATGCAAGGTAGAACTGTTTAATGTCATATTGTGGTTTTCAGACAGAGTAATGACATATCCATAGAAACAAGCAGGTAACAGACAAAAGTTACACAATGCACCTTTAACTTAACTTGAATAACATACGCCTATATTTTGATGTGATACGGACTTAACATAAATGCTTCACCCCTAGCCTAAATTCAAAGGCTACTGGGGTCTGGTTTAGGACAATCTTCCATGCACAAGACCATTCAGTACTGACAGCCTCTTGTTCTCCCAGGACTGGATGGATTCAGGTGTCAATGTTTAGGTCTCCTTTCTGTAAAACGAAACTCAGCTGCTTTCTTTCACGAGTAGCTTTTTAAAGCATCCCGTCTGACTTAGAATCGCAAAGCAGCTTAGACCAACCCTATAAAAAAACATCCAGCCAAGCCTATAGTTTTATCCTTTAAATTCCCATTGCAACATAATAGAAGTCTCGGGTAAGTTTCTATTTCCCCGTACGCTGATGGGCGGGCACTCTTCTCTTCAAGTCTAGAGAAGAAGTTGCTTAAGGCAGGCTGCTGTGTGGAATAGTAGTTTTTTGATGAGCAGCCGCCAGCATGAACACGCTAAGTCAACACTTCGACGAGAAAGTGCGTCCCTGCATTGATCTGATAGACTCGCTCCGCTCTCTGGGAGTGGAGCAGGACCTGGCGCTGCCCGCTATCGCCGTCATCGGAGACCAAAGCTCGGGGAAGAGCTCTGTGCTGGAGGCGCTCTCCGGAGTGGCGCTGCCGAGAGGAAAGGGTTAGTGTAATGATCTAACCACTGCATAATATAAGTCATCTAAATAGCGTTCGAGTTGTGTGTTAATAATAAGGTTAATACTGTGCCGATATCTGACGTAGGCTAATTATAAATGTAACTTGACCAATAGGATGCGTTCACGTGAGAATCCAGTTGAGCTGGATGTCAGGACTCTGTGGTAGAAAAGCCCTTCACGTTCTACAATTTCATGATGGCATAATTTCAGATGGTGGGCAAGGGCACATGTCTAGCTCGATGGGAGATTTACTGTTTTTTAAAGAAATATCCCAAATAAAAATCATCAAACGTTGAACCTTGAGGACCAAGATCTGAAAGTGACTGGGTCCACAAATTTGCCAAATGAATCTCATGGTTTTAAATATGAACCATAAGACATAAGATAACAATCACACCTTTGGAGTTGGAGAGCCCAATGGCACCACTATCTGAGACTAAAATAATTTCACTTTTGTTTCTTAATGCTGATAGAGAAGACACTGAACTTAGTGTCTTTTAAACAGCAAATGATACCGTAGATATCCTAATTTTAAACTATAGGGATTCTATAATGTAATGATGTTCTTTGAACCCTTTGATATTTAACAGATTGCAGATTTGTTGGTTTAAGCCTTGATATCTCTGTAATTATGACACTGGACTTGTTTCCAATTTAAATTATGACATTATCATGCAAACTATTTAGACATATTTAAAATATTTGGCGTATAGAGAGAGAGAGAGACACTGCAAATGACCTGTTAAGTGACGTTGGATGTTGTCTGTTGTCACTTACTACATAACCTGTACTAGTGGTTTATCCAGTTATTTATACATTTATCAGATTGTGAGGATTCAATTGTCTGTGTGCACACTCATCAGATCTGGATTATGTACATCCTTTATAATTAGACCAACAGCATGATTGAATATTCAGATATAGGTTCAAAGGCAGGCAGGTATATGTCATATGGTACATGGTTAAGTTTCGATTTCCAGGAAATGTGTGATGTGTGTGTATGATTCTAAGATTCTAAATATAACCCTAGGTCACCTGAGCAGGAAATATGTCATTGTTACAACCATGCCCCCTGATAAAGGAGGATAAAACTTGAGTAAATTAAACAGTCGGTTCTTCAGCTCTCAAACGAGTGGTTTTAATGACCCGAGACCGAACCAGAGCTTCCCCTGCTGTTCACCGAACCGGATGTGCTTCATCCAACCAAACTTTTTCCACAATAGCAGAAAATAGTATAATATAATATAATCATGTAATGCAAATAATAATCATGTACCAGTCAAATGAAAATTCTTTTTTGAATGAATTATATATTTAGCAGTAGTAATATTGTATCATAAATGTATATAATTTATAAATGGTCTTGTTTTTACAACTATTACACTATAAGCATTACATTAAGTTTATTGCAAATTAACATATTCTATCCTATTTCCACCATGACAGGAATTGTGACAAGATGTCCCCTTGAATTGAAGATGAAGCGAAAGAAAGCTGGAGGAGAGTGGTATGGAAAAATTAAATATCGGGATCACGAAGAAGAATTAGAAGATCCAGCAGTTGTTGGGGAGAAGATTGTGGAAGGTATGATTTCAATTAAACATCACAACTGACGTGTTATGTTTCTCATGCTATGTATTTGTCTTTTTGGTTTATGAACTCCAGCTCAGAACATTCTCGCTGGTGAAGGGGTGGACATTAGTGAAGATCTCATTACTTTGGAGATTGCTTCTCCTGATGTTCCAGACCTCACACTGATCGACCTCCCTGGAATCACCCGTGTGGCTGTCCAGGGCCAAAGAGAGGACATCGGAGAAACTGTTAGTAATGCGTTGTGATTCAAATTCATTATTATTTATTTAGATTATAAGGATTTATGGGACAATAGCAGAAAAGAAAAGTGAGCGAGTGAGTTATCTGAAGATTTGTTTTATTTTTGGTATTTATATGTAAAAAGCAGATTAAACTGATGACTCACAAGTTTAATAAGTCTTTCTGCATTATAAGTTGTTTTTGTATAAACTCTATGCAGCTGAGTGCAGTTTTGAGCACTTATGCCCCTGCCCCTTTTTAGTCGATCAATTGATCAACAGGAGATGTCTTTAGTAAGAATTTCTTTTTGTCAACTATAACACATCATTTTACTATTACAGTATTTAGGGCTTGAGTTCAGGGCTGCATAAGTTCACAAAACACGTCCAAGAGCATTAACATTAGGAGAAGGAATATGAACTACTAATCTAATCTAATACAAGAATATGGTATACTGTAATTTTTGTATTGTAGTTTTTATTAAAACACTGAAAATGTTGATGTCTCCAGACACAGACATTCAATTACCTAAATAATATTAAAATAAACTTCTCTAGCGTGATCATTCAGATTGTGATTAATTGTGCAGCCTTATTCGAGTTTACTGTTGATTAAAAAATTAAAAGTAATGTAATGTGTATTGGTTACTTTTTAGATAAAAAGACTCATCTGGCGGTTCATCAAAAAACAAGAGACAATCAGTTTGGTGGTTGTCCCTTGTAATGTGGACATAGCCACGACAGAGGCTTTGAAGATGGCCCAGGAAGTGGATCCTGATGGAGAAAGGACTTTGGGTAAAACACATAAAAATAAATAGAATAGACATAAAGGTCCTATTACACAAAATTGATTTTTGTTGGCTTTGGAGTTTTGTTTCATTCATTTCACATTTTGAGTTTGTTATTATTAGTCTATCTACATATCCAAAACTCAAAATGTTTCTATTCCCCCCTGTAATGTCATGAAGCAGTAGTTTCAGTCAAGTTAGCAGCTACTTCTTAACTTTATTCCAGTACAGACTGACAATTCCAGGGCTGAAATTATCCATATGATTCTAATTGGTAGAGTGTATGGAGTTTAAAAACACAGTGAAGCATTTCCTGTATTACCACATGACATCAACAAGGTGTAACAGAGTGTTTTCAGTTTGAGAGAAGAATTATAAATATGCAGGGTTCATGTGTTCAATGTGTGTGAATGAAACAAAAAACAACTCCAGGTGATGAGAAAACAACATTAGAACATAGATCAGAAAATCACTTAAAATATGGGCCCTTTAATTACCTGACTTACATGTTCACTTTGTGTTTTAGGTATTTTGACTAAACCAGATCTGGTGGACAAAGGCACAGAGGAGACAGTGGTGGACATAGTACATAATGAGGTCATCCATTTAACAAAAGGGTTTATGATCGTCAGGTGCCGAGGTCAGAAGGAGATCACAGACAATGTATCTCTGCCAGATGCCATACGAAAGGAGGAGGTCTTCTTTAGGGACCATGCTTTTTTTCAGTAAGTTTGCTGTTTAATGTGCAAATGTGGAGGGTCTGTCACCTGCTTGTGTCCATGGAGGTGACAAACTTTCTAATAACCCATATGCCATTATATAAGCACATATAAAGGGGAAGGCAGCTTATGCAGGGCTAAATGATCTACGTCAAACCGTCAATTGAGGAATCTGGGTTTCCAAACTTGTTCTCCTTACGGACTTTTCAACCTTCCCTTCTGATGCTGATGATGGTCTACCAGAGCCTTTAGCCTTGTATAAGCAGTCTTCTTCTTTACATTTTTGGTACCAGGTTCAAATTTGTTTGCCACTTGGTGATGTTTTCCAAATTTTGCATTGAAGGCACGCTGCACAGTCTTGGGTGACTATGTGTGAGCATATTCCAAGATGCAAAATGACTTCTCTTTGGGATTAAATGCTATGGCTCAACCTGAAAACAGAACACCAATGAAACATTAAATATAAAATCTCGATCTGTTTCTATAGATTCTGTGGAAATTGTAAATTATTTCAACAAGAATATCCAAAATTATTGGCCTTCAAAATGATGTAATTTTTTTTATATACTAATTGGATTTGTGCAGCACATTTTCAGAATCCTGTAATCAATACAAGTGTTCATGGCCCTGAATAGGCGTTAGAAAATGTTGAAGAGTGACTGACTAACTGAAAAATTTGTGTCAAAATAAATCTCAGATTAAAGTTCAACAAAGCCTCAGACAGAGCAGTGCTTACAGTTATCATAATATCCCTAGGGAATGTTGATGGCATATGTGTAATTGGAAGATTGTATGTAGATCAAATCATGTAGAAGTAACAAAATACTGAGCAAGCAGTTACAGGATTCAAGTATTTAGTACAGTATGCATGTACAAAGTTTTATTTTGTTTCAGTACTCTATACAAGGAAGGGTTTGCTACAGTCCCCAGGCTGGCAGAGAAGCTTACCTTGGAGCTGGTGTGTCATATTGAGGTGGGCTGTCATTCACATAAATATCATAATTAATCATGTTATAATACAGACTGTTTTACATTTGTGTGCCATCATGCTTTGCAGAGGTCTCTTCCTCGACTTGAACAACAAATAGAAGAGAAACTGAAGGAAACACAGGTGGAGTTGGAGAAATACGGTACTGGACCTCCATCTGATGCAGGAGAGAGGCTCATCTTTCTTATAGATGTAAGACCTTAAGAATATAGGATTAGATACTGTCTTTATTTTACACTCTGAAGCTGTTATTGTTGTTAATTTTGACTAAACTGGTGGACAAAGACACAGAGGAGACAGTGATGGACATAAAACATAATGAGGTCATTGATTTAACATCGTACATCCTGTATTAGGACTAAACCAAGTCTAATACAAGAACACACCCTAGCACACAGGACATACACTGTGGCTAAAGCATTATTATATTTATATAAAGACAAATTAGGTATTGTATATGAGGAATTGTTGCTTTTTATAGATGTAATCCTTTAAGTCTATTATTCGAATGAATGTCATTATTATGTTTTATCATCTTTGTGTAATGCTGCACCATAACGCCAAAGCAAGTTTGTAGTTATTGAATTTTGTTTTTGACAGTAATACTGATTCTGATTATAGAGCCATGTCGAACTTATATAGATTCTCGTAATAATATTTATGAATTGTATGTAATATAGTTTAATATAGTGTAATATAGTAATATAATACTTCTCTGCATTACTTACTACTTAAAGGTACATTGTGTAACTTTTTGGTGGTCCATCAAATGCTTTTCTCCATGGAGATGTTGTTGCTTTGTCTGGAATGTTTTATTGTATGGTATTAAACCTTTCTATCTTCATGGAGACCAAACCAGACCAAGACCAGACCAATGATATATCCATAGAAACAAGCAGGTGATGGACACTTCACCACAAAAGTTACACAATGTACCTTTAATATTCAATTCCATTTTTCAGAAAGTAACAGCGTTCACTCAAGATGCCCTCAGTTTAACCACTGGAGATGAACTTAAGTGTGGAGACAAGCTCAATGTCTTTTCTACACTCAGGAAAGACTTTGCCAAATGGAAAGCTGTTTTGGACAGATCAGGGAATCACTGTAGGTATTATAATTCATTTTCTCTATGAAAGCAACATAGAAATGACAGTGTTCTTTTGCAGTTAATGAGAAAATTCAGAAAGAGGTGGAAATCTATGAAGATATGTATCGGGGGAAGGAGCTGCCCGGTTTTATTAACTATAAAACCTTCGAAGCCATGGTAAAGGAACAGATCAAGCAGTTGGAGGAACCTGCTATCAAAAGGCTCAAGGAGGCAGGAGGTATGAAACTGACTATAGTGTTCATTCATTCTAATAGGTCGGGTGTACGTGCCTTAACATTTTAGAAATCCTTATATTAAAAAAAAAAAAAAAAAAAAAAAAAAGAGCTATATAAGTGATTTGTTGTTTGGAATTTTTTGTTTGGCAAGATTTGTTTACTTGGTTTCCTTGGTGAATATATCTGTAATTACTAGGCCTATTCACCTGAAACAAAAACTGACACAAAGTTCAATATGTTTTCTGTTATCATAAATAAACAACAATGAATTTTTCCTCAGAAAGTGCTGCCGCTGCACTCAGTTTGAGATTATGACACAATCAAATTCTAGGACGTGAACACAAATTAATTTTACACATTTTTCACCTCAGATTCTCTCATTGATTCAGCAGAAATCTGTGATGTTTTAAAGCCCCTTCTGTTATTTTTCTGTTATTTCTTGTTATATTTTCTTGTAAGCAGCCTTATTTGTTTTGATATGGTTAGATAATGCACGTCCCTGATTGGCTAATACACCTGGCAATCACACTCATCTCAACTTGACAAGATTTACCTTACCTGACCAGTCTCTTCTACTGTACATTTTGTTAGAATCCAGAAGGGTCTAGAATCAAACCATCTGTCCAAACTTGAAATGATCAAACAGAGCCACTTCATTGTAACATGTGTCTCTTATCTCAAATTAAAAATTCTAGTAACATTCAGAACAAATTCGCCTTTATAACTTCTATTACCTGAGAATAGTTTGGTGCTTCAGTTGTTGATTCTGAGAAAATCTATGCTGTTTCGCAGTTCTTTATGTTGTTTTTTTCTCCTTTTTTTATGTGTAAGCAGCCATGTTAATCATACTCTCTGAATTTGGGGAGACAGGATATGGCTCTACAGTAGATCCACTCGTCTTTGTAAAGTATTGTCAAGGCGTGTGGTTTTGGCTGGTCAGATAACCTTCGTAAAGTATTGAAGAAGTGTGTATTCTGGATGCCAGGCAATTCTGTCACCATAAATACATGGAAAACTTCTTGACTTCTTGAGTAGAATCACAGTAGCAGATTTGCAACAGATACCCAATTTTAAAGTGCAAAACTATAAAAACCTAATGTCAACCAAATGTCTTACAGATTCTGTTCGGAAGGTGTTCATACAGTTGGCCCAAAGTAGCTTCACAGGATTTCCAAACCTTCTGAAAACAGCCAAGGTATTTATTTGTAATGTATTTTTGTGTCTCAGTGAGTATTATACTGTAACATTTTTTCTGCTATCTTTGTTAGAACCATATTGAATCTATTAGACAGGAGAAGGAGACCACTGCAGAGGACATGCTGCGCACTCAGTTCAAAATGGAGATGATAGTCTACACCCAGGATAGGACCTACAGTGACAGTCTGAGTGAGAGAAAGCGAGAAGAGGATGAGGAGGAAGAAAGACGCCCAAAATTCCACAAAAACAGGAGCATTGTCTACTACATGGACAACAAGGCAACTCTCCAAGAACTCATGTTACACCTAAAATCCTATTACCAAGTAAGTTATTTTCAATAGTAAATCTCTCCACTGAAATACCTGACTTTTACAAGAATTCCTCTACTGGGGAACCACTACGAATTATCTGTCATATATTGTCTGGAATGTTTCACAGTATGGTATAAAAACTTCAATCTTCATGAAGACCAAACCAGACCAAGGTACAAGTCAGATCTGTGGAGAGGCTACGAAGCTCACAGTCAGAAGGCCTGCTTTTCTAGATATTTTTGTGCTATAAAACCACCTGTAATTGAATAAATGTATGGTAGAGCTGTTTGTGTCATACTGTGGAAAATACCAGGCAGAACCCCAACCAAAAAGTTGCATAGTGTATCTTTAAATACATCCAACATTTTAGAATATCTATCTTTTGCACCCTTCTACATATATCCCACTGTTGTTTGAAATTAAGTGTCAGTTATTTTATCACATGCCATATAAATCAACACTGATGTAAAATATCTGATAATGAAAATACCGTTTATGGGGATATCCCCAAAATCAACTTCTTATAATGGGCTCCCTGTATTGTCCAAAATTCAAGGCTTTTTGTACATTCACCTATGCCCTATCCTCGCCCACATCCCTGTCCCTGTTTACTTAGTTGCACTTATATGTAAAATTAAGACCTTGGGTTATACATGCAGGTTTCTAAAATATCTTTTTGTTTTGATAAAATACAAAAACGTTAATGACGCTTTGAAACTTCCCTAAAAGCAAAAGACAAGGCCTATTAGTTCTGCAGTTATTAACAGGAAGTGGATCCCCTGTGGAAGGAGGACTGGACCAAACATTTTATAAAATATAAAAATTAAAATCTGCCTAAATGTAGCCTATTATATATTTTTTTTTCCATAGATTGCAAGCCAACGTCTAGCAGACCAGATTCCGATGGTCATCCGTTACAAAATGTTGCAGGAATTGGCTGTGGAACTTCAGAGGCAGATGCTGCAGATGCTTCAAGACAAGGAACAAGTGGAGTTCTTGCTCAAAGAAGATTATGACATCGGCACCAAACGAGCCGCTTTGCAAAGTCGTCACAAGCGCCTCTTGAAGGCCCGTGCATATTTAGTTAAGTTCTAGTTATCACACATTATTTATATGATATACTGTATAATGAAGTCAGTACTGTCAGTCATTCAGCCTCTGCCTACTTCACACAACTAATTCAATATATTCATCCATAACTACTGAAAAAATGGGCAGGGTTAGAGTTTATAATGCCTTCACTATGGTGTTGCTCAAGAATGTTAAACTTTCACATTTAAACCTGGTTAGCAATACTGCCCCCTGGTGGTTATTTTGTGAAATTACATATTACTTATAGACAGGTTCTCGAGCAATATTAGTAGGTTTGTATGAAGCAATCTGTAGGCAGAAAATCTCAGAAAACATAGAAGAATGAAGTTTATTCAAAAAACACATATAAAAATAAAACACTTTACAGAACATTTTCATTCCCCATTGTCAACAGGGCTCCCTTGACTAATGTCATCATTGTCAGATTTCTCATCATCTAAAATACAAAAAGATATATTAAGAATTACATAAACTATATTTTACATTAGATAATCAGATAATTACTCACTTTCAAGAGTCTGCTGAAGTTCTTGTATGGTGCTAAGAAGCACATGAAACTGTTTTTTCCTCAACTCCAACTGAAATAATTGAAAAGATCGATTTAATCTGACCGGATGAGGTAAAATAGTGTTGCTCAAAAAATCTAATATATATATACACACACAATACCTTTGCATCTACATTTTCTTTAATATGAGACAGCTGCTGAAGCTCTTTGTCCAGTGCCTCCAACTGTCTGCAAAAAGGATAAGTGTTACCATAAAAAGAATTACACACATTTACTTCATAAAAAAAACTTACTTTAAAGTTTCATGTCTGTCTGGATGTTGTTGTATTACTTTAGCAAGAGCATCATATTCTGTAAAACAAAAGTATGGATATTACACTGCCATATATACATTAAATGAGCACATGGTGAAGTTTTAAGTTCAAGAATTATTTTCAATTTTCGTGACAGTTTAGTTAATCAGATGGGAGACATGTTGTTGGCAGAAACTGTATGTGAATAAGTAGTAAGTAAACGTTGCTACCTTGTCGATTCTTTCGGATTCTTTTGGCTCTTTGGATTTCTTTTTTGCATTCAGCTATTTTCTCATGTGCAGATGTGATGTTTTGCTCTACAAATAAACAAAGAATATAAATGACATTATAATTCTTTACTTTTTATATAAAGTACTTTCACAAATATGCGTTTCGTCGGATTTTACCTATAGTTGTGTAGATTTTCTCATAATTTTCCATTTCTCGAAGATTCATGTCATACACCATCAAGGTTTTCCCCATTGAGAACTCACATTGAGCCAGCGTACCCAGCATCCTCTGATACTGTGTGAATCTAAACAAAACCACAAAACACGAGTCATATGTAAGAAATGCATTGATTAGGCAAAAAATATAAAGTTTTGTGTCGCTCTCTGACTGACCCTTCCTCTGGGCTGGTAGGAGAATTGCACCATTTAATGAAACTTTTTAGGAGCACGTTAATCCGGCGGTCATCTCCTGCTCCATCCCCGTCAATGAGAAGGCGTTTACGAATAACTTCATCTGTGTACAAGGAACAGACCATTATAGATTTATACAGAAAACCCAAGCACAATGTTAGCAGCGGTAGGCTAGCACACGGTTAGCGCATAGCCCCAAGATTTGCCCAGATCCCACATTTTTGGATTCTACGACAATGCAATAACATATCATGTAAAAAGCATACTTGATTTCAAGCACCCGCTGTATACTGTATTTCAAAATTTTAACAATCTATAAAATAATGTTACCATCTGTGACGGCTCCCATGTTTAGACCGGACTCTTCTCTTTGTTTTGTTCGCAGTGGTTTTGAGGAGCATTATCGCCTCCTAGTGGCACGGAGTATGGCGCAGATAGTTGTACTGTTGCATGGGGTGAAAATAAACTGACACTAAAGTAAAAAATAATAACTGGTCAACCTTAAGTGAAATATAATATTAATTCTCATTAATTATAATGATTTAAAGGACCTGTATGTATCCTGTACTCTTACTCTATACTCTTAAAAATGTACTAGAATTACAACTGTACTTGCTAGTGTCTTAACCAGAGACTGTATATACATATATTTATGAAGGTTCTCAAAATATGGGCGGCCACGTCATGTGAAACCCCAGAACGTCCAAAATTCACTCTCTGAGCTGCAGAGTCTGCACTAGCACTGATTGGCTGCAGGTGCTGGGTTTAGGCATATACACTTTATGGGTACACTTTCATGGTTTAGGGAGTTAAGATTTCAGATGATCACGAGAGTCCATAGACTGTATGTGAGAGTCCTTTTAGATTTAAACCAAATGGATTTCAGCACTGACACTTGCAACCTAAATGAGACTCATGAAGCTGATAGTTTTGAAAACTAAAACACCACGCTATATCATAAATGAAAGGGACATTATCTCCAGTGGTTTAGTTCCTATAAGTTAAAAAGTTGTAAAAATTAAATGTTTAGTGTTATTTCTGTTGTCAGGAGTGCGTACGTGCGCGCTGACGTCTTGGTCCCAGAATGCAGTCTGGTAAACAGACATGGACGCACCAGGTGAAGACCTCCACAGAGGCTGAGCTCTCAACTCGCTCTTTTCCACCGCCTTTAGTCTTTTATCCAGTGCATCCAGCTGATTTTAGTCTCTCTGGAGGCTCGTTTTTATTCACTACTTCTATAACACCGGTAAGAGCGTACTTTCTGTCATTTCGTGACAATTGCTTATTTCTTGTGCTGTGCTGTCAGGCTTTGCCAGTTTCCTCGCCAGTGCTAGTAATGGCTGGCTAAAGGGCTCAGCTAGCAGGCTAATGTAGCCACCACTGATGGCTACGTCTGTACCAGCCACTACACTAACCTTCACTGAGGTCCATTTTATAAACGACTGTATTTGACACGATCCACCTTTTACACATTAAAGACCAGTGACTACGACACCATTGTCATAACAAAGGGACACAGCCTGGCGAGTATTAAAAAGGGAGTGTAGCTGCAGCTAACTCTCTGAAACTACTGCCTCCATTTAGAAATGGCCAACAGATTGAGTTGTGCTTTGCAGAAATTTTGCAAAAAATAGTTCTTAATGTGTATTTAATGTTTTAAATTGTATTCAGGCAGCCCACATTTATGTTATTGATGGGTTACACTGGCCCCACAATTAGGCCTTTAAAAAATAGGCTATGTAGTAGCCATTGTGAGACCTGATCATTTAAGTAGGCTGTGTTCAAGAGTTTTGCTTCAGGTAATAAATGTTCATGCTTCATCACAGCATTGACCTACAATTAAGGATCTGTTTTACTTTTACTAGCCTTTTGTGTTCAGTATAGTTCAGCAGTATCACTACTGTGTTTTTACCATAATGCCAAAGAAAATCAGTTGCTGGAAATGATAGTCTTATATTTTGTGTGGATAAACACCACAGTGAATTATTTTCCACTTTTTTTTTCAGATTTTGCGTCACTATGGCAAATTTTTGTGTGGATAGACCTTCTCAGTCGCTTTTTTGAAATGTCTGTTGCTGTCCAACAGTTCACAGCTTTCACTGCTATTCTGCTGCCGTGTATTGGACATGGATGAAAGATTACAAATAATAAGAAATGATTCATTTAATAACACAACTCTGCCTTGTGAACAAAATTTACCAAGGTACATGGTACAGATGAAATACACATTTTTGGCAATGGTTTATATGTGGATGGTTTTTGCATGTATTACCATGACAACCAGCAGGGACAGCAAAGTAGTGAAGAGAGTTGATAGCTGTCGGATGGTTTTATAAACTCTGTAGCAGCTGAATCTTATGTTGATTTATTCATGAATTAATATTCACTGAGTTTATCTCAAGTAAAAAAAAAACAACACTTTGACTTGTCCTTTGACCATGTTTGTGCTGTGTGTGTCTTCAGACCTCTGCAGTGTCTGCTGATGAACCTACTGATGTGGATCGACTGACAGTGTTAAAAATAAGTTACTTTTGAAAGGTAGGCTTCATAAGTGTCAAGTTATTAGACTCAAATAATGAATTAAATCACCTTGTCCTATTGTAGAATGGTATAAATGTAATCCATCACCTAAATCATCAAGTCTGACTTCTGATCTTCCTCGGTTCTCACACTTTTGCATATATTAAAGTGTTAATGCAGAGCATCATACGTATTTATTAGGTTAGGAAAAATAATACTTTTTCCAAACTGCCTTTATCATCAAAAAGTAAAGATTTAATAGCACCATCATTCACTGAGGTATACTTTACAAAGAAGTACAATTGTTAGGCTTGCAGGTAGATCCCCCACAGATATTTTTGCTACTTTTTTCCCTCATTTTTGTTTTTTATTAGTGTGTGCTATGTGCATAGGGATTGTTTTTTTAGGCTAGATTTTTTTATTTATTCATAAATCATGTACACATCCAACACCAATATCTTCACAATGCCCTTCAGAGGTTACAATACCTGCTGCATCTGAGATCCTCACACCAGTATCACTATTTGGTTAAATCACCAACAATACCAAAATGCTTTTGGTCATGGGATAAGACGGTTGTGCTTTTCTCTGTTAGTTTCCGAAAAGTTTGTTGTGATGTGAAACATTCGTGTGAATGTTCGTTGTTTTCTTTGTGGGGGTGAGCTAATGCTGTAGCCTTAGTTGATTTGGGGGCAGTCTGAAGGAAGCGATGCTGCCGATCTGCGCCATCGGCCCCTCCGACCATCACCAATCACTCACACACCACATTCATACAAGACGAGGTGGGTGAAGTGTCTAGACTTGTCTTGATAATTACAATACTGACTTAACTTTCAATACATGAAAGCTGGAATAATATATTTTTAGGCTCAATATTTATCATGAGTATGGTACTTTTTATTTACACTACTGGGGAAATGTTGGTTATTTTGGCTATACGATAAGATTTAAGATGCAATGCAAATAATTTGTTATGATGACAGGCCTAGAAGTGTCTTCCCTAAAGACACATCAACAGTTAAGCTTTGGGTTAATAACCACTGAGGCACTGCAGAGTAATATAGCAATAAAAAGCTATATCTGTTTATGTATTTCTGTTTCTAAATATTAGACAATTTAATGGCAAATCTATAGAACATTGTCTTGAACCCATATGGGGGTTTCCAGCCACATTGCCTTACAAATCCAGGTTTATCAGGAAATCCAATGCTGAAACTAGCACTATCTTAAGCTTCAGGTTGTTCATTTAACTAACTAACCATTAATTCAGACCTGAGGTTCAACTTTGTGTGTGCTCTCAGTGAATATAGGAGGGGCAGATAAATAGAGCAACAAACTCTCTTAAAGTGAGCCTTGATGGTTTGATGTGTCCATATGGGAGAGGAGCCAAAGAGCGCATAGACAATAGCTTTTCAACACAAAAGTCTTCAGTTCTTTTGATCAGAAGAGCTAATAGACACAGAATAGACATGGCTCACCCCATCTCTCCTGTTTTACCCTCACAGCAAGCATAAAATACAGCTTTATATGAATTCTGAAAGAGCAGTTATATATTATTATTATATATATATATAATATATATATACTTATATATATATATATATATATATATATATATATATATATATATATATATACATATATATATATATTTTTTTTAATACATGATGGGATGTTATATGCATTTCAGCTAGGGAAATCCTGGTATATTTGCCATAAGGTCATGTGCAAAAGTACATAAATAGTAATTGGTTTAGAGGCAGAAGCTCACTTTGACATTTTAATATTTGAATATGATTTATCTTTGCATGGGAGGGAGATAAAAGGAAGCTAAGAAGTTACAATGGCACATTTTATTGGCTATATACAAAAAAAAAAAAAAAAAAAACATAATCCATGTGCTATATTGTTGCTGTCATATCTGGTATGGGCTGATATGTGACTGAAACTTAAACTGAATTTGAAGTGAAGTTAACATAAACTGAATTGTAGAATTTAATGAAAAGGGTTGTAGAACTGATTATGATTATCATATAAAATTTATGTAATTTTGAATAATTAATTCAAATTCAGCTTTTAATAATGCTTAATTCAATGCGCAAACTTCTGTTTCAGTTTTGCCAACTTCAACAGTTTATATGCAAATTGTCAGAAAAGGTGTTCCTGTACACAGGCATTGTCAT